TGGAACTCTCTCCCATGTGCCCTTAAAAGCTCTGCCACAATTGACATTTTTAGGTCCAGACTTAAAACCCACCTTTTCTCAGTATATTATGTATAACTTCATCTGTAAATACTCCAGTGTAAATATTCTGTAGCGCTTTGAGCATGCCTTAGGGTGTGGAAGGGGCGCATTATAAATATGCATTTATTATTATTATTTATTATTACCCAAGTCTGGCCTTACCGGAATATGTATCTTAGACTTACGATGCGTTTTTTTCCTGAGTGAACACGGGTAACCCAGTTGTCCGAAGTGATGAAATTCCTGTGCGAAGTTTATTCCCTAGGCAATACCAGATTTGGGGGGTTCGACTCCCGGTTCACTTCCATTTGGTTTCCAGGTTTGTCAGCACCAAATACAAACAGGGTTTCACCAAAGTGGTGTGTGTCTGAGACCAGCATCACGTCGGGCCTTCCTCCAAATAACACTGACAAGCCGTTCTGTAGCTGGAATACTCTTAAACATCGGTGTTAAACCACAGCTCACTGACTCACTGTCACTATTGGGGATTCCATGGTAGCACCTGTATTTTATATTCTAATATGCGTTTCAACACTTGTGCATCCCGGGACAGATTAGGTTCCCAGTGTCAGTTACTGGTTTCCCCGTGGAGATCCGTGACAGATTGGGTCCCTTGTATCCAGATCTGGTGGTGGTGTCCTGTGGAGATCCGTGACAGATTGGGTCCCTTGTATCCAGATCTAGTGGTGGTGTCCCGTGGAGATCTGTTGGTGATGTCCCCGTGGAGATCTGTTGGTGATGTCCCCGTGGAGATCTGTTGGTGATGTTCCCGTGGAGATCTGCTGGTGATGGCCCGTGGAGATCTGTTGGTGATGTTCCCGTGGAGATCTGTTGGTGATGTTCCCGTGGAGATCTGTTGGTGATGTTCCCGTGGAGATCTGTTGATGATGTCCCCGTGGAGATCTGTTGGTGATGGCCCGGGGGGATCTGTTTGATGGTGTCCTCTCTGACACCTGTTAGTGATGGCCCATGGAGATCTCTTGATGGTGTCCACTTGGAGATCTGTTGGTGATGCCCCGTGGAGATCTGTTGGTGATGTTCCCGTGGAGATCTGTTGGTGATGGCCCATGGAGATCTCTTGATGGTGTCCTCTTGGAGATCTGTTGGTGATGCCCCGTGGAGATCTGTTGGTGATGTTCCCGTGGAGATCTGTTGGTGATGTTCCCGTGGAGATCTGTTGGTGATGGCCGGGGAGATCTCTTGATGGTGTCCTCTTGGAGATCTGTTGGTCATGTCCCCGTGTACACCCCTTGAACCAGACGGGTGTCACTGCGGGGTGTCCGAAGAAGAACACTCTTCACTTAGTGTAACAGTTCCAGCCATCCCCATATCCCCCTGTGACATCCCCTAGGACTTATCCTGGCTCGTCATCCAACAGTTGACGCCAACAGGAGAACTACCTGAGCTTTTTGTGTCATCAAACCCAGCAGCATGCTGTGATCCGCCAGAGACTGAGTTGCCTGTACAGGGCTTGAATTCATCATAGCTTTAAATATTATTTACCGACTCCATCTGACAACAATTTCGGGGAAGGGTAAGGATTTTCGAAGCTTCCGGCCTTTGAGAGACACATGCTATAAATTTGGATAACATTGGGCATCTCCGCACTCGATTCAATTAGGAATGTTTATCAAAATGTATCTGTTGCCACAGGATTCAAAACCAGATCGTGTTCCCTAATAATCCTTCTATCCGCTTCTGTCACAGAGTCCGGATATTGAGAGAGTTTAGAGGAGGAGCGGAGGACATCGTCAGTAACGACTTCAAAATCTTCAGCAACATTGCAAGCTTCGTGGAGGCTGTAGGCGACGAGGCATGCCACTGAAGTCGTTGCCGTATCACTTCCATCTCCATTAGGGCTGTTTCTCGGTCTGATATTAGAATGGATAAATCGCGAAAAAGTTATGTTGAATGCCTTTTCTTTCTTTACAGGAACATAACAAATCAATAAATGTTTTAGCAAAAAGTCGTTATGTGTGTTCTCAAATGCCATCGATCCGTTTTGTTGACTTTTTGTTGTTTACGATGACAAGTGGGTGTTTTGTTTGTAAAGATTCATATCACAGACAATTGAAAGTTTAATCGATATTTACTGTCGTTTTGAAAATGTCAAAGAATCAACTACATAACTTGATCACCAACTAGACGCTGCAGACGTACATATTCTTTAGTTGATGCCACCTAAGATGTGCCAGTAATACCGAGTAGTTTGCTCGGCCGCTCGACACTGTCGGGAAATATTGGGCCTCGTGGTCTTTCGCGCCGCAGTTCGCTTTGCAGAGTTGCGTACCTTGCTTGTCAGAAGGAGGTACCGCGTCTCTGAGTCATGCAAGTAGTCGTACGGTAATACGTATCTATTCAGAGCTTCCCGCCACAATAGAGAAATATCTTGAGATGCCGGATCCAAGGGCTACCCTCCCCGACCCGCGGGTCTCGAAGCCCCCCTGCAAATTCCTTTCTCAGAAAAGTCACTGAAAATATTTTCTTCAGACCTATTTCTGTGATTTTTAACAGATTTATTTTTTAATTTTTTATATGAACCCAGTTTGGCGTGAGATTTATCAGTTTTGTCGTGAAAGCGTGACATGTAATATGTCTATTACCCTGGAGACGTACTCTATGTCTCGGAATCCGTATTTACTGTGACCTAGACTCGTGTGAACTGATTATCTGTGTTGGTTAACGTGGTATACGTCGAACCCATTCACTCTCTAATATGTTACAAAAAGGATGTTATGAAACCTAAATCATCTGTAAGCATGTCTCCCGGCAGTATAGGCACAGAGCAAAGGACTCCAGAAGTGTGTTTTGTACAATGTTTGACAATGACACGTGGCTGTGACGCGCAGCTTGAGTATGTGATAAAACCCACCTGGTAAGACATTAAAGTTATAATGTTAGAAACGCGTGGGCGATATTGAAAGACATTACCGCATTAACTTCATGTGGGCATGAATATAACATACATTTGATAATGTCATTGTTGATATCACATTTTCGCATCTGGTGTTTGTTACTCCTTGTCTGTTTGTAGAAATAGCCGTCATTCCGCCGACGATCGCTCAGAGACGATTTCTCTTGCACATGCCTGCTCCAGCTTAGACCAAAGACAATACAAGCTTCACCTCTTATTACTACGGTCATGATGTGAAGGTGTCAATTCCAGACCTATAGTGGCGACTTTGTTGCGAGCACGTTGGGGCGTCGGTTATGACATCCGATCCCAAAAAAACATCGGAAGCATTTCATTCAGATGCAATCGCATGTATCCTTCGGATACGATGACTTTATCCACTCTCTGTACTCGAACATCAGTGAATTCATCTGCTGTCCAACCTTCAATATTATTGACAAAGTCTGTTCACAGTCCTCTGTTGAAGTTCTGAGGGTAAGGTTTTGAAGTGTTTTCAAAAATATTTCGATCGCTCCACATTCCACGTTCGCTTTGATTTTTGACAATGTAAAAAAACCGCCTAGAATCCTCTAACACGGAACTGGCGCACCAAGCTTGATAGAATAATTGGTACCGACCCACGGTGTATTTTGGATTCGAACCAAAGACAGAACGTCATATTACACGTTGCTCTTGTTCCCTTCATGGTAGACGCCATTTGTGTCACGAAACTAGCTTCCTTATGGAACATGGTCCTTTTTTCTAGAAGGCCGTCAGCACAATACAACATAATCATTCTTCCTCGGATACCTCAGCTGGAGCGTAATAATTGGGTTCAAGTTGAAAAATAGCAAATCACAGGTCTGGTGGGAATTAGAGATAAGCGAGAGTTATCTCTCGTAGTTTTGTCGCCCAGACAAACGATTCTCTTCGTGGATCCAACGTGTGTAGCCTGTGTCTGGTTGGCTGCTTGAATGGTTTGTTTGTTTATTGATTGGTTGGTTAGTTGGTTCGTTGGTTCATACAGCATGGGACACAACATATGTTATATTTGGGATTACACTTTCTTAGTAAAGTACAGATTCTAGTACTTTTTGGAGCTTGAGTCCCATCCGGGATTCGAACTCACACCCTCAGAGTGAGGCACCTAATCGTCAGCACACAAAGTCAGACGCCTAGACCGCTCAGCTATCGCGGCTTTCACAAAAAAAGTGGAAGTCGGACAACTGGTAGTCTAGACTGCGGACTTTGTGTACCCCTCTGATAAGTGTTAATAGGCACGGCTCCCACGGCCGAAAGCTATGAAATACACAATGTCATTTAGAAAGTGGTCACATGTAACATATGTTATATTTGGGATTACACTTTCTTAGTAAAGTACAGATTCTAGCACTTTTACTCTTTACTAAGAAAGTGTAATCCCAAATATAACATACGTTACATTTGACCACTTTCTGAAATGACATTGTGTATTCCATGGGACACAACGCCGAGTTTCGTGATTTCGTGCACATCTGACACTGCAGCTGGTCCAGTCAACAGTTCTGTACAATTTGACGTCTTCTTGAAACGATCGTCGCTACGATTCACTTAATTCACAATTTAATTCGACCTTTAATCTCGCGATCTCCATTCCACATACACTAAACCGTCCCGATGATTCAACAGCCATACAGCAGCTATTCAACAGGCTTGTGGGAACCCGAACAAATACTCCAGACGCTGTTTACCCAAGCGTGCAGCCAATCACTCAGATGCAACAGCAAAAAATGACCACAACAAAAGCCTCTACCTGTACTGTCTACCTGTAAACACCATCTCTGTGTCATTGATTGTTGTGGACAGACGCACCTGCTATAATCTTCTTAGCAAACAAATCCATTGTTTTCTTTGCAGTTATGTGCAATCAGCACCATATCTCTGCCCCTGTCCCCAGTGAGTTTCATAAGGCATTCATGAATAATTGCTTGAATAATTACAGCTGGTTGTGGTTATTGCAGGTTGGTGTGGTGGTGGGTTATGAGTCAGGGAACAGGATGCACTTGCCCCTTTCCCATAGCAAGCCCAACGATTCCATTGCTATACACTATTGATTCATTCGATACATCAATCTATGGAAACGTGTCGGCGCCACTGTATGAACCGTCCACTCAGGACTCAATTAGCTCCGCGTGTTTCTTTTGTACGACAGTAGACGCTGGTTTTTATTACATTTGAATTGCGTCAACACGACATATTGTTGAAGTCAACCTGATCAGTGCTTTGTTAAAGATTTGTCTGCGCGAGTATTTAGGAATTGTGTTGAGTCTGGTGTTCCATACATACAAGCTTCTCACTACACAGACTGCTCCCAGTAAACGTTGCCCTGTCGGAGTCAAGTGTGGGCCTCTGTGATACGATCAAACACCGCGTTTAGTGGACTTAGGTGGACTACGATACCTTCCAGGATGAATCTGAATGGATACTGCGTCTTCAGCCTGGTCCTGGCGTGGATTGTTGCAGCTGAGAGCAAAGGTGGGTGAAATGACTTAACTTGCAGGTGACATTTGAAAATGTAGTAGAATCGATTTGTCTCAAGAGCAAGACTATATCTGACCAAGCGTAGTATAAGTATTTTACTGATATTTTGTCGATGCATGTTATATATAAACTATATATTATATATAGATATTACATATCTACCCGTCCTGCCATACATGTCAGTCTGTAGGCGTTGTGGAAGTATATTTAAGTGGCCTATGTCAATGTATCCGCCTTATGGTATCACTGTTGTGTAAACACATGGCAAGAGGTCAGCGTATTATGTAGACGGTGAAATCAAACAGTGTTTTCTTACCGCTCTAATGCCAGTGAAACCCTTTAAGAATGAATCAGGGTGTAATTAAAGTAAATCTTTCAACAGGCTGGAATTTAGACGCGGCAGGTGTGCGCTCAGGTATACCTGAACAAACTCGCTGTTTCCTTTAGGCTGCTCTTACACAGGTGACATATTAGTTTTAAAACCTATAGAAAACACATGAATGCGTCTTCCGGAATGAAAGGTTAGCCTTTGGCGCGTTCTGTTTGAGTAATCCACTGGTTAACAGTGACGAGGAAAGAGTATTTGAAGTATTAGTGTATATTAGTCCGGAGTCTCTTGGCATGGCGTGCATGTATTGAGTCGAGGTGGTATAGACGATGTAGGTTCACGGAGGGCCTTGTGGATACAATACCATTGATTACATGATAAATCTCCGACAATGTGCTTTAATGTGATTGCAGAACGTTGTAGTATGGAACGATCCAGATGTACGGCTGTATCATCGAGTGTAAACCTATAACGTACGATCCGTATTACATGCGTAACTTTATTAACTGTTCTCCGGGCCAGTACGATACGAATAAAACGCCACCGTCACACAGTACATGGAGTTTTCATTAAATTTTACATGTACAACATGTAATGCCCGACGAAACGGCACGTGAGACACTCATTCTTAAATAAAGTGAGTGAGTGAGTATGGTTTTACGCCGCTTTTAGCAACATTCCAGCAGTATGACGACAGGACAATTAAAAGAAATGGGCTTCACACACTGTACCCATGTGGGGATCGACCCCGGGTTTCAGTCGTGGCGATTGAACGCTTTGACCACTAGACTACCCCACCGCTCCTCAAATGAAGTACCAGTTAGGAGTCCTGAAGTTCAAGATAGAGAATGTGCAAAAAACAACGTCAGTTAAGTGCCCCACAGTGCTACAGGGTGGATGAAAGGTGTACAAAATAACAAAACTGAAAGCACCAAAGGGTATACATTCAGCACACAGAAACATACATAGGATATTAATATTGACTGAGTCTGAACATTGGTGAGATTGTGTCAGCTGATGCTTTACACTACGACAGGCCATGTCGTCTAAGACGTCGCGATTTTCTAAACAGAGTTGCGTCCCCAGGGCGTGCCAGGATCCTGTGATCGTGGTTCCGAATCCCGAGTGGACGCAGTTATGTTTCTTGGTTAGTGAGTACCCGCGCTTGCTGGTTTCATCAAAACGGTGAACGTCTGAGATCTGCTCCACCTTACTAACACCGTCCGCTAACACGCAATAATATACATGTAACTGGAAGAATGTTCCAAGCTACGTAAACCCAGCTCTGTCAGTCTTACTTTGTACTGTCGCTCCGTTTGTTGCATTCCAAGCTGAAGTGTCCTTGGAATGACATTATTGGAACCTATTTGTCGAGAGAGGGTGCAAAGAAGGGTGTTAGGGGGACCCATCTGTCAGACTAACGAGCGGACGCCATCACACCCCACGCCGTGGCAAGGACAGAAATCACTCCGTGGGATGATTAATCTATCATTCGCTGGTTGCCAGGTCTTCCTATCGAACCAGGCATAATGGGACTTGTTAGCTTTTAATAAAGCGAAAAGATATTAACTTTATCAGTTCATGTGAAATTAATGATATAAGGGGAAATGAATGACATTTGGAAGAATGCTGAATACAGTACTTTCAGTTTGATTTTATTCCTCGGTGATGTATGCATGACGCTGAAAGTCATATCGAACTTGTTACCATGGTAACTGTAACTAACACTTATTGTGCGACTTTTATTGTACTTTAATAAATTATATATCGAGATACCCTGGATTGCGACAACACCCTAAAAAATAACGCGTTCATTTCGATGTACCGCAAAACGTCGGCATCTGACGGTGGATGAAGCCGCGGGTTATATCTATGACGTCACTGTGAATAAAGAAGTGATAACCACGCGTCACTGTGTTGCTGTCGCCCACGATGGCGTGTACGAGACTGTACAATATTAATGTGTTCTTGAGTCAGCTCAAAATGTCAGACTATACAGTTTCTACAGATACATGTATGTACAAAAGAGATTATGAGTGAATTTGTCTGTAGGCGAAACTTTCTGTTTCCCGATAATGTCGGAAGTAGGCATTGGAATCTATTGCAAGGAGTATATAGATATATGATATATATATTATCGATATACCATATTTGTCTCACCTGTCCTTGTTCACAAGTGCTATCCGATGTATTGTATTCTTGGCAAGGTGTCAATCTGATAAACGTCTTGTTCTTCTTCTTCATCTTCTTGTCTACATTGACAGATATTGAAATGGACATACTATATTGAATTGGGGTTATCAGATATCATTTTGCCACAACATGTTAGAATAACAAAAAAGTCTTTTTTTAGAAAATCATTTGTTCGAATGAATATTAACTGTGGCCAGACAATGGCCTTAATATCACATGATCATCAGTATGATCCCTCTCCATGTGATCCTAGCGTCCAGGGTCCCGTTTCTCAAAGCAATCGTAGCACTAAGGTGATCGTAACTCCCATACTTTAGCATAGACTTACGGCAGTCGTAGCGCTACAGTCGCTTTGAGGAACGGGGCCCTTGCATGCACATCCAATAACTGTATGTTGGAGAAATCGTGTTGGTTTGAAACACTTTGTCAGATCACGGAGTCATGCGTTTCCAGTTTCGTTTTATCAATTGTTCGTATTGGAGTACATTTAAATTTAACACGTTAAATGTCTTAAGATCTATTAGCGTCTGATACAGCAAACAGTGCAACGATTTCAATCCTGCTCATATAACTTCACTATCTCCTCTCACCCTACCCCAAAATGTGAGCCGTACTCCATTGAATTTGGAATAGTATCTTTCGTGTTAGTTAGAATTCATATTCAAAACAAAAATGACAATGTCATTTATAAGGGACGCTGAAAGGGACATTTTGTGACGGGTAACTGTTAAAAAATTGATCCCGTTTAAAAAGAGACTCAGTACAAAGACAGCCCAGAATCAGGAGTGTTTCTTTGCCAGCGCGTGAAACTTGCCGTTTCCGGCCGGGAATAATATATGTGTCACACTGTCACGGAACATCCCGTGTGACGTCGCGAACGATGACGCACGTCCGTAAATGAGGGTGGATGTGTTTTTCACTCAAGTAAAGGACCTTTGAAGTTGGTACCAAATGTGTTGGAACTATTTATCAGAATGGTCTCAATGATATTCTGCAGAGGGTCTAATTCCGCCAGAAATGCCGATGTGGTACATTTGTGGTTAAGGTCACTCTGACCCTCGAAAGCAATTACACCATCTTAATAGTGATCCCCAGGACATTACAATGTCTGCGTTCAAAGAGACTGTCGGAATATCTTATATCAAGATTAAGGAGGAATTGGCGCCATATTCATAAAGTTTTCAGACAGCCAAATGTTCTCCAGACGCCCGCCATCATATACGCAAATCCTCGACATCTTTATTGAAATAAGAAACACGTACAGAGAGACATCCCCGTAGTTGTCGTTAATACCAAGTCCTGCTGACGTCGGTACTAAGAACTACTGATTGAAATCAGCTTCTTCGTTTGACCTTTGAAAGAATCTTTTTCACCTCGGTAATATCTGTCGTATAAATATTTCATATTCACCTTTCCCGGAGCCATCATGTCGAGCTGACTGAGTCAGGAACGTCAGAGTGAAGGATGTTGGCAAGACTAGCTTCATCCTCACCAGGCAATTGTATACTTACATTAAGAAAAAAAGTCAGTCATCCTATTCCATCTGCTTCAGTTCAAGTATTATGTATCTGTACATTTTGCCTATCTGTTAATGTTTCGTACACAAGCACAGAAAATCGTTTCATTGGCGAAAAGACACAAGTATTGATCCATCTGAGATCAGGTTACGGTGGCAGAACAGGGAGTTCAAGGACTTCATGCATAACTAAAGTGTTTGTAACTTCGCCATGATGGTGAAGCATGTATGCCATACGCTATACTGGGTAGTATTCCGAGGAGTAGTTGCGTCCCCTGGACGTGTCAGGATACCCTGACTTATTATGAAACTAGGTTTGTGAGCTCCATACCAGTGCATCACTTTCCGATGTCCTGCAACGTCGTGATATTGATGACAAAAGAGGGACTCCCCACGGTATGACTGATGACCTGTTATATATGTCATATACACTCATCGAAACTATCATATATGTAACATATATTATAACATACATAAATATATATACGATTGATAGCAAACGGTGGCTTGTCATTAAAAAAATCATTGAAAAATGAACCATAAAGATAAAATAATTAGTGACAAACCGCAAAATGCATGAACATAATGGAGGACAAACAGCCAGAAAATAGGACCTGATATGGCCAGTGGCCCTTCTGAACAGAGTCCGATTATTTCATGGTTCTATATCTAATCTAAGAGAAATGGCATAACCGGATGTTCTTAACTTTATTTGAGTAGAATAAATTCAGTTGTCGAAGCCGGAAAATCATCGTAACAGGTACAAATAGGAGTCGTTTGAATGTTAGATTCCTTTTTCATTAAAGTGAGCTTTTATATAATAACCACTTGTCGAGATGAAACTTCATCTAATTTCATCAAATATTGTCCGATTAAAAATCAAACATATATGAGCTTGTATTTACTTTTATCCAATGACCATATTGATTTTCCCGTAACTTCAACCTGGGAGATGATATTTTATTTATATATATATTGCTGTTATAGGCGATACAAAATCGATCTGAGTAATTTCTATAACTTTTTTCATCCTGTAAAAGGGTTCGGTCTGTTTGTTTTCCCAAGTGTAAAAACGACTGGCGTTATTTTGTTCGTGCCATTCAAAGCAGTGCCGAACCCCAAATCAATGATCATGTGTAATATGTCACGAAACCCAGCAGCATAGGGGTTAACATGCAGCCACATCAATCAGACCAAACTCAATTATTAAGCACACTTGAATGCATTAACCCTCCAGTGCTAATTAAGCCTTGTTGTCAATCGATAGTTTCGTGCCATTCTGCAGTACTGGTGGAATGGGGATCTTGGAAACAATAAACTTGAATCTTGTTGATTGTATTGTCACCGAGGGGAACACGTTCCCCCCGATTTAAACCAGTGGTGAATGGATTAGGGACGGAACACATAGAGTCTGGAGAGGATTATTTGGCGGGAGTGTCAACGAGTTGAGAATAATTTATAGTTTAAAAAACTCGTTTAAGACAGGCACGCAAAGACAACAAAGGTGCGGTTGCCAATGAAGATGGCTCTTCCCGACACAACCTCTTCGTTCCATATACAAAGGTGCGACAACCATTGATGAAAGCCAAATTATACTTCTGCTGTAGAATCTAGGGTAGCCTAGATGTCTAAAGTTTGCTGGTCGTGTCGACGTCGCTGGTCGATTCCCAGTTTGGCTTCAAAGTCAGAAGCCTAGTCTTGTTTGAGTTATTGTTATATTGCCAAACTATGGCCACTCGCTCCACACTGGCACCGCAACTCCTCTGTATGTTTTCTGAGTTAGAATGGGTCACCTACAACACATATTCAAAAGCTGACGTGGATAAGCTTAATGACTCAGCTGATAGTGGTACCTGGAAGGAGGTTGCTTATAGTATCAATCATCTGTTTGTCTGGTCCACGGATTCCATTGTTGGTCGTCAATCTGCCGTCATATGTATGTGGTTTTGCTGAGCGAAGCATTAAACCAATCAAAGACAATACATACGGATTCTTAAGGTCCGTTGGTCGGGCTTGTGGTAAGAGTGTTCAACAACATGGATTAAATTTCATTCATTTACTTAGCAGGACTGATATACATGTAAATTGGAGATTTAGATATGTACACTCTGAAACTAAGAGGACAAACGTTGGATTCAATTTTGATTATAACGATATATATTGAGAAGATGTATTGTGTTGGGATGTTCAGTTGCAGATAAACGTCGATTGTTCTTTGCTTGACGTATGATTGCTTCTGTCTGTAATATACCTTAGTACAGTGATGGATTTATACTCTTTAAAAGGATACTCGGAATTATATTAAAATTTACAAAATTGTAAGATACATTAGTCTTTAGTTATAGTTGTAACAATGATCATAATAAACGATTTTGAAACACAAATGTCCGTGAGTGAAGTTTGATGGTGGATGAAGATGGCAATTTTTGTTCGGTAATGCGTGAATCCGTCACGATGTGTCAAGTATGTATTCACCCAACGAGACATACTGTCTGTCATACTCCGCGCTTGGCCAAGGTCAGTCGACGTGACCTATGCGGCTGACGCACCTATCACGTGCTGGGTGTCAGCGAGGACTGGGTTCAATGTTGGCCGTGGTATTCTGTGAACGTTGTGCTGTAGGAGGTGAACCTGTATGCTCCGTGCATGCTCACCATGTACATGTAGTCCAGAAACGTTGATCAAGTAAAAACGTTGATCAACTAAAAAACAACACGTGACCAAAGACGATCACCACAGCTGTCGACGTTGTGTACATCACTGAAGTCTCTTGGCAGTTTGACCATTCGTAAGGACGGTAAAACATGTGGCCTTCGAACACTGACTTCTTACTGACTGGACCGTTACGGGTTGTGTAGCAGTCTGAAAGTTTGCAGCCCTCTGATTCCCAGTTTGAGCTCTGTTTCTGATCAGTCCATCCTGTGACCTTGTTGTTGGTCTGGGGCGCACTGAACGGGTTGTCAACGTTCTGGGTTTGTCAACGTTCTGGGATTGTTGGTGCCTGTTACAGTCTGTTTACTGGCGTCTTCACGCCAACCTCAATATTTGGTATAAACATATCTGTCATGATCCCTTTGACTGACTGACTGAGTGTTGTTTTACGCCGTTTTTAGCAATATTCCAGCAATATCACGGCGGGGGACACCAGAAATGTGCTTCACAAATTGTACCCATGTGGGGAATAGAACCCGGGCCTTCGGCGTGACGAGCGAACGCTTTAACCACTAGGCAACCCCACCGCCCCTGATCCCTTTGAAGAGTATAAGAACTGATGTGAGCAACGCAAGCGAAACAAAACAACAATTTCAACTTCTTGTGGGCAGAATATCCAATCATTATGGTTTGATGTGATGAATCGCTGTCAAAAGATCTTAAGCCTGGTACATATAGCCTATTATAAAACAAAACTTCGCTGGGTTATGACGGTGTCCCATAGATGTGTCGACTGGCATTGTTTTTCACGTTATTGACCCCTGGACCTAAATGTATGATTGTTTAGGCCACAGTCTGTATGAGCAACATCACGAACCCAGATCTGTCTCAGGAAAGCGTTGGGGTCTGGAAACCAATTATATCCTATAATCCTCTCGTGGTTTCAGTGTTTGCAGACTAGTGTGCAGAACAATAACTTTGGTCGGGAAGTCAAGGATATATTTCTATTTCGACATAACGACTTGTCTTTCAGCTTCGCGGGCAAGGTTTAACAGGTCCTTGGAATTCTACTTGCACCGTGACTGTCGTACGTCAATGGTCACCTATTAGTTTGTCAATCGTAGCTGCTGTCTGTATAGCTATTAGTAAAAGTTGGGAACATATCTCACCTGTCAATTTGGAATACGATCTACTTACATATTCTGATAAATCCAAAATGGCGTTGGGGTAGGTTTGTGGTTACAGCGCTTGTTCGTTGGGTTCAGTTCCAGATTTGGGTATCAGCCGGTTAGTTAGACACCAGTTAGTTAGACACCAGTTAGTCAGACACCGCCTTCATACAGCCGCAATATCGCGGCGCTAAACACCAAACAAACCATGTGTGGATCCCATGCCTGGTCTCCTCCGCAGGGATATTTGTTGAATATTGCTCTAGTAAAACTACACTTACTCTCCAATTCTCTTATAAACTCGAGTTACTATATTAAGAAAATAAAAAAAAGGAAATAGGTATTCTCAGTCGCGTTCCAACTATCCATTCGACATACAAGTTAATGCAAACAATTTTTTGAACTTACGTTATTAAAGAACTAATGACACAATGTCCCAAACATGTGGTACATGTTTGACACAAGTAATCATACATTTTGGAATGCAATATCACCGCATATGTTAAGGATGAAGGATGACACATCTCGCTATTGGCAAATACACACGCTGCTGAAACCGTTGCCAGCTGATGACGCTGTAACAGCAACGTTGTGGTCGTCCTGCCGTCGGCGTTGATGCATTTAGATAAGAATCTTGCTTGATTAACTTGTGCTGAGCTGTAAGAAGAACATGTTTCATGATCGATATGCTTGCAATATGATCAGTACACAGCTTTGCCTCATATTGTCTGAAGGTTATGATATGATGGTGGCGTGCGTGATTGCTTGGCATTAAAGGAAGTCATCAAGTGGTTCCCAAATGTTCACGAACCTAACGTAACACGTGACCTAATTACTTCCCAGTAAAATTCCCTTTCTTACAAGTGTTAGAACTACCCAGTATGGTGGTATTTAAAAATGGAAAACCAAGACAAACCAATTGACGTTAAATCGCTTGATAACGCATGCCTTTTTCTGGGAGAAGTTGAAGTTTTGCTAAATCAATAGTTTCAGGATCATCGATGGATGTGATCAAGTCTGGATATATATTGTCTGGAACCGGAACCAGTTGCCACTTCAAGATGGCGGAAAATGGACATATGCAGTTACCTCCCTTAGCTGTTAATACTGTGTAAAATACTGAAGCAGTCCAGTGGTTATGGCTTTGAACACAATCCATATGATATGTAACGGGGGTGGGGGCACACACTAGTAGTTACAGCCTTCCCTCTTAACGCCTAAGGCCCGGGATTGCTCCCCAACATGTGCACACTGCAGGAAGTATAATTATTGATATTTCTGGAATTTTGCTCACAGCGGCGTAAAACCATATTTGTTTACAAAGTGGATGACCATCATCCTCTCTCATACTCTTGTTTGGCTACCCAGATGACCAAGTCGTCGTCCATATATTTACCAGATATGATCCAATACAATGCTGAGGTTGGCAGAATATTCCCATATCCATGGTACCAACTGTCTCTGAACTGTATCATAGCGGACGCTGTGGCTGGACCCCCATTGTTCCTTTATATCTTTGTTAGTGACAAACAGTTCAAGATCTTCCTTTAAAGTGGGGAGGTATGATCGTTTACGTCCTTTAGGATACAAGACAATGATGACTGATGGCGCTTAGCCTCTATTTAAGTGTTCAACATTGGTCTTGATCCGTTAAATAATGGGCACGTATAGCCAGCAATGGTATAAATTGTCCCTTGATGCCTATAATAATCTAATTAGCGTCTAGCTGTGTGGTTCAGATAGGAATGGTGGCTTCAACACCGCCGTCTCTCGCCGCATGTTGCGGTCACCCTTATGTTACATCAAGGTCATTTGCTTTGTGGTCTGTTGCAGGAAAGGTCACGTGTTTCCGGAAAGTCAAGGCCAACGGGAAGTGTGCAGGGCTGGTCCGGAAAGGCTCGTTCGAGACCTCAGCCTCCTGTTGTCAGAAGTGGGATGGATATGCCCTCAGGAAGGTACAGGAAGTTGCTCTCTTGACTACAGAATCATGACACATCTAGTTAGACTAACAGCTAGTCTCTGAAATGAACATATTTTACAGAAAAAACGTTTATAAATTAAAATAATATAAAAAGGTGCCCAGAGACTTTCTTAATTTTCAGAACTTGAAACTGTGGTCATCTAGACTTGCCACACATTCTAGACTTGCATGGGCTATATTGGGTATAATTATTTCAAGGTTTGTACGACAGACTAGGATCTCGGGTATAAGCGAGGTACTGTCGCTGACGTAGTATCAGTTTCTACTGCAGCCCAGCGTCGTCTAAAGCGCCGCAAATCACTGTCCAGAGTTGCGTGTCTAAGGTTTGCCGGGCGGTGGGGGTGGCCTGGTGGTTAAACGTCCATGCATCACGCCGAAGACCCGGGTTCGATTCCCCACCATGGTGCAATGTGAAACCCATTTCTGGTGTAACCCGCTGTGATAATGCTGGAATATTGATAAGGCGACGTAAAACCATACCCACTCACTCACTCATCAGGATCCGCGGATCTTGGGATCGAATCCGCCCCGGATTAATCCTCAGTATCTCGTAACTGTATTAATCGCTGTAGGTTGTTTTCAGCACTGTAGTAAACAGATGCTCGTAACGTGTGGTTTTCGGCTTATGCCCCAGACCAATAACATGAAAAGTCACGATTCTTCCCAACTCAGTGGAATGCCAGAGTACAGTAGATACTACTCCTGATGGTAATTTGTCTGATATGTAGTAAAACGCTATTTATTATTGCAAGCACGGAGAACACCCAAATAAATCGACTGATATGTTTCTGCTTATTGCCTATTCCTTGCAAACGAGGATTTTATGACGCCCAAGTATTTCTCTACGATTGATTGTTCCCTAATTTACTTCGTGACGGACGTCAATGTGTCTCTAGTAAGGCGAAACATTTCATGGCAACGTTAATCGGTCGTTTCAAATTCGTGAGATTTTATTTTCAGTGTAAATGGAATTTCAAATGAGATCATGTAAATTAAAGAACGCATTTTTTTCAGCAAAAAGTGGGCAAGAACCGGTTTAAGTGTACTCCGTGTGTTGGTAAAACACACAGGGAAAGCAAGCGCCAGAAGAAGAAGCTGCAGAAATTACGGAAAGAGAAACATCCCAAGAAGGAGAGGAAGGTAAAGCCCACAGTGGAGACGCAGACTGCTGAGCCGGTCGTCGTCGTCAAACCCAAAGAGTCGTGGTATGAACCGTCCAAGAGAACAGATGTATCGTGTAAGTTGACAGAAAGGAACCTTGTGTTACGCCGCTGTAGATCTCTTGTAGGCTTGTGGTTTTCATTCGGAGATACAAACCCAGGACAACTCCGTGAGGAGCTACAGCACTATCCACTGGGCCAGTCCACGCACATAAAAGTCTACGAATCTAAAACAAGTGTATGTGTAGATTTATAAACTGACATATTTTTAATTACAAGTGTGGAAAATCTACACGTAAAATCACATTCTTGGCCTCTATGCCCACTTGTACCCCACCTGTTCCACGCATGGTCGGAACCGATCCGATATAACGAATTCTGTCTACACAATGTCAGTAACGCTAAGTAGTAATCAACCCGGTCTACACAATTATTTCATCCCTCATGTCTTGATATACTGAAGGCCCGTGAAGATCAGGGTTAGAAATTGATCTTCAGTAACCAATGCTTGTTGTAAGAGGCAACTAACGGGATCGGGTGGTCATACTCGCTGACTTGGTGATACATGTCATCGTATCCCAATTGCGCAGATCGATGCTCATGCTGTTGATCAATGGATTGTCTGGTCCAGACTCGATTATTTACAGACTGCCGCCATATAGCTGGAATATTCCTGAGTGCGGCGGAAAACTAAACTCACTCACTCACTCACTCACTGATATACTGAATACTGATCACAGCAGAGTTGAACCCAACTCACTCACTACCTTACATGAGCGGGACAGGGACATGACCCACTGGTACAAATGTTGGCTCTTCCCAAGGAAGGTCTGAGTTCGATTCACTCATTCCACTGACTCACTCAATCACTTAGGCATTTCTAGAATACAGAGTCGTGCATCTTCCTCCGAATAATATCCAGGGATGCTTAAATCAGTCCACTTAGCTCTTCATCAGCGTCCAAACGGCTTCATTCGAGACCTCGGTTGAGACTCGCTTCCCATTCTTCCATCACCAGTAGTTGGCAGCCCCCGAGATTCACGTCATTTAGCTGGAATTTATTTCGGCATGACAAGGGGTAAGGGTTTATTAATGTCTTGAGCGGGCAGAGTATCTATTAGCCTGAGGTGGAACTGTTCGCCTACCAAGCAGGCAGTTGAAGCAGCTAGGGACATATTATAGGTAATTCGGTTTGAGTTGAGATTTCCCTCTCCACTCGAAAAGGTCACAATATTAACGGGAAAACAGTCCGTGGTTATCCCCCACGTTCACCAGCTTTATTACATATTCTAGATGTCACGAGAACTGCATGTATAAATTGGAATGTCATTTTATGTATTCCATGCGGTGATATATCGTTGAACTGTCTGAACTAAACAGGAATCTGAAACAGGAATCTGTGATCTCATCTTTGACAATCTTCAGCATGTTCAATTGGCCGTGTGAGTGAGTGGCGGATGTTTACTGTATTCGGCAATATATTGTTCTATAAATATCCGGTCTTGACGGGCCTCCTCGTTAATACAGTGAAATCTATTCCCATCAGACACCTACAGTAATGTCCTCTCTCCCCTGCCACCTACAGTAATGTCCTCTCTCACCTGACTCCTACAGTAGTGTCCTCTCTCCCCTGACTCCTGCAGTAATGTCCTCTCTGCCCTGGCTCCTGCAGTAATGTACTCTCTCCCCTGGCTCCTGCAGTAGTGTCCTCTCTCCCCTGGCTTCTGTAATAATGTCCTCTCTACCCTGGCTCCTGCAGCAATGTCCTCTCTCCCATGCCCCCTGCAGTAATGTCCTCTCTACCCTGGCTCCTGCAGTAATGTCCTCTCTCCCCTGGCTTCTGTAATAATGTCCTCTCTCCCCTGGCTCCTGCAGTAATGTCCTCTCTCCCCTGCCACCTACAGTAATGTCCTCTCTCCCCTGACTCCTACAGTAGTGTCCTCTCTCCCCTGGCTCCTGCAGTAATGTCCTCTCTCCCTGCCTCCTGCAGTAATGTCCTCTCTCCCCTGGCTTCTGCATGTCCTCTCTCTTCCCTGGCTCCTGCAGTAATGTCCTCTCTCCCCTGCCTCCTGCAGTAATGTCCTCTCTCCCCTGGCTCCTGCAGTAATGTCCTCTCTCCCCTGGCTCCTGTAGTAATGTCCTCTCTCCCCTGCCTCCTGCAGTAATGTCCTCTCTCCCCTGGCTCCTGCAGTAATGTCCTCTCTCCCCTGGCTCCTGTAGTAATGTCCTCTCTCCCCTGCCTCCTACAGTAATGTCCTCTCTCACCTGACTCCTACAGTAGTGTCCTCTCTCCCCTGGCTCCTGCAGTAATGTCCTCTCTCCCCTGCCTCCTGCAGTAATGTCCTCTCTCCCCTGGCTCCTGCAGTAATGTCCTCTCTCCCCTGGCTCCTGCAGTAATGTCCTCTCTCCCCTGCCTCCTGCAGTAATGTCCTCTCTCCCCTGGCTCCTGCAGTAATGTCCTCTCTCCCCTGGCTTCTGTAATAATGTCCTCTCTCCCCTGGCTCCTGCAGTGTGTCCTCTCTCCCTGCCTCCTGCAGTAATGTCCTCTCCCCTGGCTCCCAGTAATGTCCTCTCTCCCTGGCTCCTGCAGTAATGTCCTCTCTCCCCTGGCTCCTGTGTAATGTCCTCTCTCCCCCTGGCTCCTGCAGTAATGTCCTCTCTCCCCTGGCCTCCTGCAGTAATGTCCTCTCTCCCCTGGCTCCTGCAGTAATGTCCCTATCCCCTGGCTCCTGTAATGTCCCTCTCTCCCTGGCTCCTGCAGTAATGTCCTCTCTCTCCCCTGGCTCCTACAGTAATGTCCTCTCTTCCCTGGCTCCTACAGTAATGTCCTCTCTCCCCTGCCTCCTGCAGTAATGTCCTCTCTTCCCTGCCTCCTGCAGTAGTGTCCTCTCTCCCCTGACTCCTGCAGTAATGTCCTCTCTCCCCTGCCTCCTGCAGTAGTGTCCTCTCTCCCCTGCCTCCTGCAGTAATGTCCTCTCTCCCCTGCCTCCTGCAGTAATGTCCTCTCTCCCCTGGCTCCTGCAGTAATGTCCTCTCTCCCCTGGCTTCTGTAATAATGTCCTCTCTCCCCTGGCTCCTGCAGTAATGTCCTCTCTCCCCTGGCTCCTGCAGTAATGTCCTCTCTCCCCTGGCTCCTGCAGTAATGTCCTCTCTCCCCTGGCTCCTGCAGTAGTGTCCTCTCTCCCTGGCTCCTCAGTAATGTCCTCTCTCCCCTGCCTCCTGCAGTAATGTCCTCTCTCCCTGGCTCCAACAGTAATGTCCTCCTATCCCCTGGCTTCTGTAATGTGTCCTCTCTCCCCTGGCTCCTGCAGTAATGTCCTCTCTCCTGCCTCCTGCAGTAATGTCCTCTCCCCTGCCTCCTGCAGTAATGTCCTCTCCCCTGCCTCCTGCAGTAATGTCCTCTCCCCTGGCTCCTGCAGTGTGTCCTCTCCCCTGGCTTCTGTAATAATGTCCTCTCTCCCCTGCCTCCTGCAGTAATGTCCTCTCTCCCCTGGATCCTGCAGTAATGTCCTCTCTCCCCTGCCTCCTGCAGTAATGTCCTCTCTCCCCTGGCTCCTGCAGTAATGTCCTCTCTCCCCTGGCTCCTGCAGTAAAGTCCTCTCTCCCCTGCCTCCTGCAGTAATGTCCTCTCTCCCCTGGCTCCTGCAGTAGTGTCCTCTCTCCCCTGCCTCCTGCAGTAGTGTGCTCTCTTCCGTGGATCCTACAGTAGTGTCCTCTCTACCCTGGCTCCTGCAGTAGTGTCCTCTCTTCCCTGGATCCTACAGTAATGTCCTCTATACCCTGGCTCCTGCAGTAATGTCCTCTCTTCCCTGGATCCTACAGTAATGTGCTCTCTTCCCTGGATCCTACAGTAGTGTCCTCTCTACCCTGGCTCCTGCAGTAATGTCCTCTCTTCCTTGGATCCTACAGTAGTGTCCTCTCTTCCCTGGATCCTACAGTAGTGTCCTCTCTACCCTGCCTCCTACAGTAATGTCCTCTCTAAACTGCCACCTGCAGTAGTGTCCTCTCTACCCTGCCTCCTGCAGTAGTGTCCTCTTTACCCTGGATCCTACAGTAGTGTCCTCTCTACCCTGGCTCCTACAGTAATGTGCTCTCTACCCTGGCTCCTACAGTAGTGTCCTCTCTACCCTGGATCCTACAGTAATGTCCTCTCTTCCCTGGCTCCTACAGTAGTGTCCTCTCTACCCTGGCTCCTACAGTAATGTCCTCTCTACCCTGGCTCCTACAGTAATGTCCTCTCTACCCTGGCTCCTGCAGTAGTGTCCTCTCTACCCTGGATCCTACAGTAATGTGCTCTCTTCCCTGGATCCTACAGTAGTGTCCTCTCTACCCTGGCTCCTGCAGTAGTGTCCTCTCTTCACTGGATCCTACAGTAGTGTCCTCTCTACCCTGGCTCCTACAGTAATGTCCTCTCTACCCTGGCTGCTGCAGTAATGTCCTCTCTTCCCTGGATCCTACAGTAGTGTCCTCTCTACCCTGGCTCCTACAGTAATGTCCTCTCTACCCTGGCTCCTGTAATGTCCTCTCTCCCTGGATCCTACAGTAATGTCCTCTCTTCCCTGGATCCTACAGTAGTGTCCTCTACCCTGGCTCCTGCAGTAATGTCCCTCTCTTCCCTGGATCCTACAGATATGTGCTCTCTTCCCTGGATCCTACAGTAGTGTCCTCTCTACCCTGGCTCCTGCAGTAATGTCCTCTCTTCCCTGGATCCTACAGTAGTGTCCTCTCTACCCTGGCTCCTACAGTAATGTCCTCTCTACCCTGGCTCCTGCAGTAATGTCCTCTCTCCCTGGCTCCTACAGTAGTGTCCTCTCTACCCTGGCTCCTGCAGTAATGTCCTCTCTACCCTGGCTCCTGCAGTAGTGTCCCCTCTCCCCCGGATCCTACAGTAATGTCCTCTCTTCCCTGGATCTTACAGTAGTGTCCTCTCTACCTTGGCTCCTACAGTAATGTCCTCTCTCCCCTGACTCCTACAGTAATGTCCTGTCTACCCTGGCTCCTGCAGTAATGTCCTCTCTCCCCTGACTCCTTCAGTAATGTCCTCTCTTCCCTGGATCCTACAGTAGTGTCCTCTCTCCCCAGGCTTCTGCAGTAATGTCCTCTCTTCCCTGGCTCCTACAGTAATGTCCTCTCTACCCTGGCTCCTGCAGTAATGTCCTCTCTTCCCTGGATCCTACAGTAGTGTCCTCTCTACCCTGGATCCTACAGTAGTGTCCTCTCTACCCTGGCTCCTGCAGTAATGTCCTCTCTTCCCTGGATCCTACAGTAATGTCCTCTCTTCCCTGCCTCCTGCAGTAGTGTCCTCTCTACCCTGGCTCCTGCAGTAATGTCCTCTCTTCCCTGGCTCCTACAGTAATGTCCTCTCTACCCTGGCTCCTGCAGTAATGTCCTCTCTACCCTGGATCCGACAGTAGTGTCCTCTCTACCCTGGTTCCTGCAGTAATGTCCTCTCCCCTGACTCCTACAGTAATGTCCCTCTTCCCTGGCTCCTACAGTAATGTCCTCTCTCCCCAGGCTTCTGCAGTAATGTCCTCTCTTCCCTGGCTCCTACAGTAATGTCCTCTCTACCCTGGCTCCTGCAGTAATGATCTCTCTACCCTGGATCCTACAGTAATGTCCTCTCTACCCTAACTCCTACAGTAATGTCCTCTCTACCCTGGCTCCTGCAGTAATGTCCTCTCTTCCCTGGCTCCTACAGTAGTGTCCTCTCTACCCTGGCTCCTGCAGTAATGTCCTCTCTTCCCTGGATCCTACAGTAGTGTCCTCTCTACCCTGGCTCCTGCAGTAATGTCCTCTCTTCCCTGGATCCTACAGTAGTGTCCTCTCTACCCTGGCTCCTGCAGTAATGTCCTCTCTCCCTGGATCCTACAGTAGTGTCCTCTCTCCCCTGGCTCCTGCAGTAATGTCCTCTCTCCCCGGCTCCTTCAGTAATGTCCTCTCTCCCCTGGCTCCTACAGTAATGTCCTCTCTTCCCTGGCTCCTACAGTAATGTCCCTCTCCCCTTGATCCTACTGTAATGTCCTCTCTACCCTGGCTCCTACAGTAATGTCCTCTCTCCCCTTGTCTCCTACAGTAATGTCCTCTCTACCCTGGCTCCTGCAGTAGTGTCCTCTCTACCCTGGATCCTACAGTAATGTGCTCTCTTCCCTGGATCCTACAGTAGTGTCCTCTCTACCTTGGCTCCTACAGTAATGTCCTCTCTCCCCTGACTCCTACAGTAATGTCCTGTCTACCCTGGCTCCTGCAGTAATGTCCTCTCTCCCCTGACTCCTTCAGTAATGTCCTCTCTTCCCTGGATCCTACAGTAGTGTCCTCTCTCCCCAGGCTTCTGCAGTAATGTCCTCTCTTCCCTGGCTCCTACAGTAATGTCCTCTCTACCCTGGCTCCTGCAGTAATGTCCTCTCTTCCCTGGATCCTACAGTAGTGTCCTCTCTACCCTGGATCCTACAGTAGTGTCCTCTCTACCCTGGCTCCTGCAGTAATGTCCTCTCTTCCCTGGATCCTACAGTAATGTCCTCTCTTCCCTGCCTCCTGCAGTAGTGTCCTCTCTACCCTGGCTCCTGCAGTAATGTCCTCTCTTCCCTGGCTCCTACAGTAATGTCCTCTCTACCCTGGCTCCTGCAGTAATGTCCTCTCTACCCTGGATCCGACAGTAGTGTCCTCTCTACCCTGGTTCCTGCAGTAATGTCCTCTCTCCCCTGACTCCTACAGTAATGTCCCCTCTTCCCTGGCTCCTACAGTAATGTCCTCTCTCCCCAGGCTTCTGCAGTAATGTCCTCTCTTCCCTGGCTCCTACAGTAATGTCCTCTCTACCCTGGCTCCTGCAGTAATGATCTCTCTACCCTGGATCCTACAGTAATGTCCTCTCTACCCTAACTCCTACAGTAATGTCCTCTCTACCCTGGCTCCTGCAGTAATGTCCTCTCTTCCCTGGCTCCTACAGTAGTGTCCTCTCTACCCTGGCTCCTGCAGTAATGTCCTCTCTTCCCTGGATCCTACAGTAGTGTCCTCTCTACCCTGGCTCCTGCAGTAATGTCCTCTCTTCCCTGGATCCTACAGTAGTGTCCTCTCTACCCTGGCTCCTGCAGTAATGTCCTCTCTTCCCTGGATCCTACAGTAGTGTCCTCTCTCCCCTGGCTCCTGCAGTAATGTCCTCTCTCCCCCGGCTCCTTCAGTAATGTCCTCTCTCCCCTGGCTCCTACAGTAATGTCCTCTCTTCCCTGGCTCCTACAGTAATGTCCCCTCTCCCCTTGATCCTACTGTAATGTCCTCTCTCCCCTGGCTCCTACAGTAATGTCCTCTCTCCCCTGGCTCCTACAGTAATGTCCTCTCTACCCTGGCTCCTACAGTAATGTCCTCTCTCCCCTTGTCTCCTACAGTAATGTCCTCTCTACCCTGGCTCCTGCAGTAGTGTCCTCTCTACCCTGGATCCTACAGTAATGTGCTCTCTTCCCTGGATCCTACAGTAGTGTCCTCTCTACCCTGGCTCCTGCAGTAATGTCCTCTCTTCCCTGGATCCTACAGTAGTGTCCTCTCTACCCTGGCTCCTACAGTAATGTCCTCTCTACCCTTGCTCCTGCAGTAATGTCCTCTCTTCCCTGGATCCTACAGTAGTGTCCTCTCTACCCTGGCTCCTACAGTAATGTCCTCTCTACCCTGGCTCCTGCAGTAATGTCCTCTCTCCCCTGGATCCTACAGTAATGTCCTCTCTTCCCTGGATCCTACAGTAGTGTCCTCTCTACCCTGGCTCCTGCAGTAATGTCCTCTCTTCCCTGGATCCTACAGTAATGTGCTCTCTTCCCTGGATCCTACAGTAGTGTCCTCTCTACCCTGGCTCCTGCAGTAATGTCCTCTCTTCCCTGGATCCTACAGTAGTGTCCTCTCTACCCTGGCTCCTACAGTAATGTCCTCTCTACCCTTGCTCCTGCAGTAATGTCCTCTCTTCCCTGGATCCTACAGTAGTGTCCTCTCTACCCTGGCTCCTGCAGTAGTGTCCTCTCTACCCTGGCTCCTGCAGTAGTGTCCCCTCTCCCCCGGATCCTACAGTAATGTCCTCTCTTCCCTGGATCCTACAGTAGTGTCCTCTCTACCCCGGCTCCTACAGTAATGTCCTCTCTCCCCTGACTCCTACAGTAATGTCCTCTCTACCCTGGCTCCTGCAGTAATGTCCTCTCCCCTGACTCCTACAGTAATGTCCTCTCTTCCCTGGATCCTACAGTAGTGTCCTCTCCCCAGGCTCTGCAGTAATGTCCTCTCTTCCCTGGCTCCTACAGTAATGTCCTCTCTACCCTGGCTCCTGCAGTAATGTCCTCTCTTCCCTGGATCCTACAGTAGTGTCCTCTCTACCCTGGATCCTACAGTAGTGTCCTCTCTACCCTGGCTCCTGCAGTAATGTCCTCTCTTCCCTGGATCCTACAGTAATGTCCTCTCTTCCCTTCCTCCTGCAGTAATGTCCTCTCTTCCCTGGATCCGACAGTAGTGTCCTCTCTACCCTGGTTCCTGCAGTAATGTCCTCTCTCCCCTGACTCCTACTGTAATGTCCCCTGTTCCCTGGCTCCTACAGTAATGTTCTCTCTCTTTAGGCTTCTGCAGTAATGTCCTCTCTTCCCTGGCTCCTACAGTAATGTCCTCTCTACCCTGGCTCCTGCAGTAATGTCCTCTCTTCCCTGGATCCTACAGTAGTGTCCTCTCTACCCTGGATCCTACAGTAGTGTCCTCTCTACCCTGGCTCCTGCAGTAATGTCCTCTCTTCCCTGGATCCTACAGTAATGTCCTCTCTTCCCTGCCTCCTGCAGTAGTGTCCTCTCTACCCTGGCTCCTGCAGTAATGTCCTCTCTTCCCTGGCTCCTACAGTAATGTCCTCTCTACCCTGGCTCCTGCAGTAATGTCCTCTCTTCCCTGGATCCGACAGTAGTGTCCTCTCTACCCTGGTTCCTGCAGTAATGTCCTCTCTCCCCTGACTCCTACAGTAATGTCCCCTCTTCCCTGGCTCCTACAGTAATGTCCTCTCTCCCCAGGCTTCTGCAGTAATGTCCTCTCTTCCCTGGCTCCTACAGTAATGTCCTCTCTACCCTGGCTCCTGCAGTAATGATCTCTCTACCCTGGATCCTACAGTAATGTCCTCTCTACCCTGGCTCCTACAGTAATGTCCTCTCTACCCTGGCTCCTGCAGTAATGTCCTCTCTTCCCTGGCTCCTACAGTAGTGTCCTCTCTACCCTGGCTCCTGCAGTAATGTCCTCTCTTCCCGAGATCCTACAGTAGTGTCCTCTCTACCCTGGCTCCTGCAGTAATGTCCTCTCTTCCCTGGATCCTACAGTAGTGTCCTCTCTACCCTGGCTCCTGCAGTAATGTCCTCTCTTCCCTGGATCCTACAGTAGTGTCCTCTCTCCCCTGGCTCCTGCAGTAATGTCCTCTCTCCCCCGGCTCCTTCAGTAATGTCCTCTCTCCCCTGGCTCCTACAGTAATGTCCTCTCTTCCCTGGCTCCTACAGTAATGTCCCTCTCCCTTGATCCTACTGTAATGTCCTCTCTCCCCTGGCTTCTACAGTAATGTCCTCTCTCCCCTGGCTCCTACAGTAATGTCCTCTCTTCCCTGGCTCCTACAGTAATGTCCTCTCTCCCCTTGTCTCCTACAGCAATGTCCTCTCTCCCCTGGCTCCTACAGCAATGTCCTCTCTCCCCTTGTCTCCTACAGTAATGTCCTCTCTTCCCTGGCTTCTGTAGTAATGTCCTCTCTCCCCTCGCCCATGCAGTATCGTCCTCCCCTCCGAGGCTCCTACAGTATCATTCTGTCTCCCCTCAGACTCCTACTCAGACCCGGAGAGGGAGAAGATTCGCTGGGGCCCGTGGAGTCCGTGCAGCGTCACGTGCGGAGCAGGTTGGAGGTCAAGGTTCAAGGTCTGTGATGACTGCGACAGGAACGACTACGAGAACGTCCAGTCCCAGCCATGTATGGTCAACTTCTACTGTCCAGGTGAGTCTAGGGCTAGGGCCACTGAACGTGCATGGCACCACGACTTCTGTGTCTCTTTCAAACAATTGGCTTTAAGCAAAACGTTTGTGTTACCTTTCCTGTTCGTTTCCCCACATGGGTACAATGTGTGAAGCCCATTTCTGGTGTTCCCCGCCGTGATATTGCTGGAATATTGATAAAAGCGGCGTAAAACCATACTCAGTCAGTCAGATTTATCTGGACAGCTCCCCTCGTCACGACTGACCGATGGGCTGGGTCTCACAAAGATATTGCATCGGACGTGTCCTTCCATCCATAGTCCTTGACAACATATAACCAAGCATTGTATTGTGGTGACAGAAGTGGCCAGTATCTCACGATCGCCGGTGGTCTTGTTGATAGCACATCTGCAGGAGGGCGGAAGGTCGTGGTTCGATCCTCGGTCGCGTCGGCTTGGAGTTATCATACTGTGTCTGCGTGGGATAGCCACGTTGGTAAATTTTATCGTTAACAGATACCGGCGTGCTATCTCAGTGTGGCTAGCACTATGGAACCGGCATAAGTCAAACTTGTATGGAAACACTCATGGGCCTCATTGCACACAGCGATCTTAGGAAACCTATATATGTTGAAATGTTGTAGTTCAGATCACTCTTGTGGCAAGGTCCCGGTACAACAAAGCGATCTTAGCGATTGTTAACAAACCTATATATGTTGAAATGTTGTAGTTCAGATCACTCTAGTGGCAAGGTCCCGGTACAACAAAGCGATCTTAGCGATTGTTAACAAACCTATATTTGTTGAAATGTTGTAGTTAAGATCACTCTAGTGGCAAGGTCCCGGTACAACAAAGCGATCTTAGCGATTGTTAACAAACCTATATATGTTGAAATGTTGTAGTTCAGATCACTCTAGTGGCAAGGTCCCGGTACAACAAAGCGATCTTAGCGATTGTTAACAAACCTATATATGTTGAAATGTTGTAGTTCAGATCACTCTAGTGGCAAGGTCCTGGTACAACAAAGCGATCTTAGCGATTGTTAACAAACCTATATATGTTGAAGTGTTGTAGTTCAGATCACTCTAGTGGCAAGGTCCCGGTACAACAAAGCGATCTTAGCGATTGTTAACAAACCTATATTTGTTGAAATGTTGTAGTTCAGATCACTCTAGTGGCAAGGTCCCGGTACAACACAGCGATCTTAGCGATTGTTATCAAACCTATATATGTTGGAATGTTGTAGTTCAGATCACTCTAGTGGCAAGGTCCCGGTACAACAAAGCGATCTTAGCGATTGTTAACAAACCTATGTATGTTGAAATGTTGTAGTTCAGATCACTCTAGTGGCAAGGTCCTGGTACAACAAAGCGATCTTCGTAAACCAACGTTACAGTACGTGAGTCGCGGTTGTGGTGGTGCTAAGGTCGTTTTGTGGAACGTTGTCCAGGTCACAGGACAGGAACAGGACCCAATTTGCCTTACAGCTTCATTCATTCACAGTCACCATGTATGGGATGGGAATGGAAGGTTTAATTATCATTGGAGGATGGTGAGTTAGTGAGTGAGTGAGTTTAGTTTGACGCCGCTTTAGCAATATTCTAGCAATATCACGGCGAGGGACGCCAGAAATGGGCATCATACCATGTATCCATGTGAGAAATCGAACCCAGGTGTTCGGCGTGACGAGCGAACGCTTTAACCACTAACTCGGGCCAGAATCTCACGTTGTCATTCAGTCCTCTGTTCCAGTAACGAATTCCTGTAACAAGTAGATGTAATCCAACCACGGCGGTATTAATATCCCGCCTAGTACAAAGGACTTCAACTTGGTTTACACGAACCACGTCTTCTCTTCCGTTACTGGTTGATCCTTATATTTTAAGGAAATTGAAATTCACGCTTCAACCTCTGTCAGAGCTGGAATAATCTGGTAGATCCAGTATTCATTACTCATGGAATTATTGAGGAGTCTTGCCCCCTTGTGAATAAGTAAAGAAACAAGAAATGAAGCTTAACCACAGTAAAAAAGTTACGATCTATATTTATCAATTCATCAAGAATCAACCCCAAGCGATTCCTGCCGAATCCCCAATGATACCAGGGATGATGGTAGATCGATGGAAGCTGATTAACTACGGTTATTCAAGGAATATTTTCGGAGAGCCAGCAAGATAAAATGACGAAAGACACAGCCATATTGTACTTCGGGCCAAAGGACACGGAGGAGTCAGTCTGATGCAGGATGAGGTATTCTGGCTCTGATTGTAGGTTTTATTGGGGTCGCGACCGAGGACCAGCTCTGTCTTGGGAGGGATAGATGTGAATTCTGTCTTGAGTACTCAAGACTCACGTCGTGCCCCGAGACAAACTGTAATTGTTCTTGGAGTTAGGTACTCTTGAGACAACATGGCTTTCACGTCATCGCACATCAGACCCGCGGCTTGAATATGTCTTACTGTCTAGACTTCAGTCGAATTGTGCGGAGAGAGAGTTGGGGTTAACAGGATTCTATCACGGCGTGTCTGTTTGATGTGGGAGGGAAGCCCGAAGCAATGCAGGTGTGATACTTTTACTACCTTATGAGACCCACGAACATCGCATGGTGGTTACGAACCTAGATACAAACCTATAGACGGGGTGAACCGAGTTCCCGCGAACACCATGGTGCTTACAAACCTAGATACAAACCTATAGACGGGGTGAACCGATTTCCCGCGAACACCATGGTGCTTACAAACCTAGATACAAACCTATCGACGGGGTGAACCGAGCTTCGGACACGCGACCATAGCATGATGGTTACAAACCTATAGACGGGGTGAACCGAGCTTCGAACCCTCGTACATAGGTTTCTGAGGTGCCCGAGGGACACATTTGGAGTGAGTGGCTTTGGGGCAGTTGATAAAATCGCGACCTAACAGTTTAATGTGGAGGAAACGAACTTTGGATCAACGCTTTAGTGAGGCTCATCTGCATCGGTATGGTGTTGACTAGGATCATAATCAATGTAAAATTGGGATTCAAACCCAGGTTCAGCTGTCCTAAGTTGCCTTATCCCAGAGGACCACCTATGGATCGGCCTTTACAAGCATGGAGGTACTGAGAATAGCAGTGACGTATACAACAGGGCGAAGCTGGAGTCCGAAACCGCAATCAGCAGCTCCTGGCACGACTAAGGAATGCAACTCTGCAGAGCAAATTCTGGCACATTACATTTCTGGTCTATCCATATTTCTAGCACCTAGAGAGGGCAATTTCCAGATACTTTATAATTTGTCTTTATTTTAATTAATAACTGCTCCTAAATCTCAGCTGAAGGTTGGCTCTAGCTACTGACAACCTGTGCTTGGGGTGCTGGTTTGAGTTTTTAAACCATGGCGGCACTTTGGTAATGCATTGAAATAATCAATGCTCAGTCAAGAAATTGAAACTCATGCTTCGACATTTGAAACTCTTTGAAGCTGCGGAAAGCCGGATTGACCCGAAACTAAGTAAATTTGATATCCGACCAGATCCGACGCTGTTGGGGCCTAGGATGAAAGTTGGAAGGTACTAGACTGTTTGCTCAGTTTCGGAGAGTTGGCATAGTGGGTGTATTTAGAAACAGTCCCCAGAATCCAGTCTCGATCGTCTTTAGCTAGGCTCCAGACGCCCAGTTAGTCAGCTCTGAGACTGGGAGATCGATGAAGGGTCTTACATGTAGAGATCTGGCTGCAGAGATTGGTATGCATAGCATGGTGGATCTACCTAATGCTTTACACAAACAACAGCTTCAAGTAAATGTTTTTGGTTTGGCAGTCTTCAGTCGAAAACCTTCCATCAGTCATTTGATATTCTGCTGAGATATATTAGTCCGTAATGACTGACGGACTGAAGGTTATTGTCATTAAATGTGGACGCGCGTCTAGAGTTACTTCAGTTCTTTTTAATTACTGTCTGACATTTTTAGAAAGTTTACATTTTGTTCTATGAAAAAATTCTGTAAAATTTATATATACTGTTGTAACAAGAGTAATCGATTAGGGGGAAAAGTTGCTCATGAATTTTATGTTGCGTTATTTGTTAAAACTTCACTGGCGTTTTCCTGAAAACCAATCTCAATAAAAGGAGTATAAATTCCAGAATAACTCGTAAATACCTTAACGTAAACAAGTATACTTTCTCCTGTAGATTTTAAAGCCTCGACGCGAGAGGAAATATGGGTATTCATGAGCACTTCAAGTCTTGAAATCTATTCAAGACGAAAGTGACCTCAGTCATTCTTTATTCACTGAAGGAAGACTTGAAATTGCGACCCCCTTTAACATAAAGGATCAACATCTTACCTAAATAACGGAGGGAAGTTCGACTGTCAAAATAAATCATCGTCATCAGTCTTAGCGGAGACGCAAACATTTCAACCGGATGTCGTCTGATGCAGCTTATTTTTGGCGCGTTTCAGAAACAGTTGACGCGATAAGATCGATATTGGAATGAACTGGGTCGATGAAAGCTTTTTGGCTCGAGGATCGATAATTTCGATGATTTGCGTAACGCCAGCACTAGATCTTGCACCAGAGCTGCTGATGGCATAAAAGCTCCTTTAATGAGTTTCTGTCCAATTTGAGAGGGCACTGTTAGGCGAACGTGCGAAACTTCTTTATACGTGCTGGCTATGTTTGGAGTTCAAAATGGGAATTATGTTAGGAACTGAAGGGAAATTGCTTCTGATGTTGTATGTTTGCAGAGATGTAACATCAACTAACATGTTTACTAGTGATCGCGTCCTCTTGGCACAGAAATGTCAGGCGAGCTTCCTGGAACAGCGCAGAGTTAGTCTTGTAGGTAAAGCGTTTACCTGACACATAAAAGACCCGGGTATGATTCCCCGCATGTGGAGTCCGCTTCTTGGCATAAGACCTTAATCCCCCCTCTCTCTCTCTCCCCCTCTCTCTCTCACTCCTTCGGGTTATTACAACGATCATAATACCATTCCCAAGTGTCCGAAGGTGACAGGCGATTGATTTTTACTTTTGTTAGTAAAAACATAATGATTAAGGCTATAACCATTCGATTCTATCAGTACTGAAAGGAATTCATCTTTATGACAATAAGTAGGCTTCAGCCGAAATTGTCATTTACTTTGTCTGTGATATATGACTGATATTTATCAGGATCTCTGACATGGTTCTTTATAGGCACATCCTAGAATTCCTTGTAACTGGTTCTCCAAGCGAAAAGCTGAAACATTATTGATGCAGCGTAGAGCAAAATCTATTCGCCCATTCGTAAATATGTATGATCTTCAGCAAGTTTGGGGCAACCATCTGCATGTCTCTTTCTGGCCATCCCGAATATTTCGTATAATTTGAGCCCAGGACAATCCGTCCCAGTCACCATCACCTAAAATACACCCTCCATCCAACCTACCCCTCCACCCAACCTCCCTCCACCCTCCATCCAACCTCCACCCTCCATCCAACCATCCAACCTCCACCCTCCATCCAACCTCCACCTAAACCTCCACCCAACCTACATCCTCCATCCAACCTCCACCCTCCACCCAACCTACATCCTCCGTCCAACCTCCACCCAACCTACAACCTCCACCCAACCTACAACCTCCACCCAACCTCCACCCAACCTACAACCTCCACCCAACCTCCATCCAACCTACACCCAACCTCCACCTCCACCCAACCTACAACCTCCACCCAATCTACAACCTCCACCCAACCTACAACCTCCACCCAACCTACGCCCTCCGGAAAAACATCCCATGCATCTACATCCGCCGTCCCACCAAAATTCTGTAGTTCGGTAATTTTTCTGAACAGCGTGTCACCGCACCCCGGCAACGCGGACAGCATTACGACACTATTAATTGTTTCTTTTCCGTTAAATGGCAAGCAAACATGCCACGCAATTCATCAAAACCGTGTTGGTTCGTGTATTCTACTCAGGTGTAAGGGAAGTGATGTGCGATCACATGAAACATATGGTTTAGGTTTGTTACATTCACGTACGTGACAATGTTGTTGTTTCTTGTTGTTTTCAGTCGATGGTAATTGGGGACCATGGTTTCCATGGCAGCCTTGCTCACTATCCTGTGACCGGGGTTTCCGGATCCGTCAGAGAAAATGTAACTACCCTCCTCCTGCGTATGGGGGACTCGTCTGTCCAGGACAAGCGGAGAACAACCAGACTTGCAATGAACAACCATGCCCGGGTGAGTCCATTCTTGCTTTTAGGAACGGAAAGTTAGTCCTGAGAATGGTTCAAAGTCCTACGTGGATACGATATGAAAAGATATAATGTGCATTTGTATCTTCTGTCGTGATAATGTGGGATTATTGATGAAATGATGATGAATTTCGTGAAGATCAGCTCACTTTATTCGACTGGGTGGGTGGCTGGCGGTGGCTGAGTATGGATGGCAGGATGCATTGGTATGATACTTCGACGTTGAACGTTGTTGTAAACAGAAGTCGATGGGACGTGAGGTGATGGTGTTGATGTGAAATGTTGAAATTGCAGTTGACGGTAGCTGGGGTGCCTGGTCGGAGTTCTCGCTGTGCAGCACCACGTGCGGGCAGGGGGTCAAGCGGAAGACGCGCGCCTGCAACTCCCCTGCCCCCAGTCACGGGGGAAAGAACTGTGTCGGCCCAGCCAACAGCAACAAAAAGTGCCAAAAAGTCAGATGCCCACGTGAGTAGCCGTCCTGATTTACTTTCAGTTTCACCGACTCCAGCACAGTCGGTACAGACGTAGTGCGAAACCTTACATCTCAATTTCCCCAACCTAGAACGAGCTTTGTGCTGATTGGACAGGGTGCCTGAGCCTGAGTCGAGTGGGAAGAGCGTAGAAACTCCGGTTGTCAGCAATGTGTTGCCTGTGTTTCTCCGAACCGTGGATCGTCACTAATACTGTCACCCTTGGTTCGCCAGGTCATATACCAGACTGCGGTGTAAAACAACATGCAGTCACTCAACTGAGGCCAGGCAACAAACACGAGTTGTATTTTCTCATTAACATTTGTCGCAGCTTACATCACTGGTACAACAATAACACTTCCTCTGCAGCAACTCCATATACGTTTCGGGACAGAATTGGTCCACAGGAACTAGTTTACCGAGGTGACTTAGTACATCGGATGGTCAGACTCGTTCACTGACTGTGTCTTCGTACCCCTCTGTTCACAATATCAGTCACTGGATTGTCTGGTCCCGATTCGATTATTTACCAATATCCTACCGAGAGTTCCATGCGGCAAGCCAGCATAGTACCTCTGCCACAGGCCAGAAAGATGTGACGATTCGTCACATCTTACACAGTCCATTCAATATAATGTACATATTTCTTAACTATTTTATGTTTGATGAGTCTACACATCTAATGAAACATCTTTGATAGAATGGTTTAGTTTCACTGAGAAAATATCCTAAAACATGTAACACTATTTCGATTTGCGTAGCGATCTTTTGTTTACATAGGTTGTACGGCTCCATGTGCTGTCATCTAAGCCGACGGAGAGCAAACGATGCAACCAGATTGATATCTAAATATGTACTGTCATAAACCTTACTGTCGTAGATGTGGAAGAATATATATGTAACAATGTAAAATACTGTGAAGAGCGCGCCGAAAGCTTGCGTGAGCCAGTCTCTTCTTATTATGAATATGCGCCTTTGTTTACAAACAAGAGAAAAGTCCGGTCACGTGATATGCAAATTAGCCTGTGGCAGTGACGTTATGCTAAGTCATCACTGCGCCGGAGTGTGATTATTTACAACCAGCCACCATATAGCTGGAATATTGCTGATAACACCAACCAGAGTGAGTGAGTGACTGAGTTTAGATTTACGCAGCTTTTAGAAATAGGCTTCACACATTGTGCCCATGTGGGGAATCGAACCCAGGTCCTCGGCATGACGAGCGAACGCTTTCACCACTAGACTACCCCACCGCCCTACACAACCAGAAACTAACGCAGGCCAACTACCACTGTGACTGCCTGGATCTCAGCAACACATCAGCAGGTTGCAAAGAATTCGATGTCCTGTGATATTAACGAACCTGCCTTCAAAACTAATTTGATTAGAGGACTGAAATAGCCCTAGAGGAACGTAGCAATTTTCGGCAAAGAAAACATAACATGGAAAATTGCTAAACGTGATTATTTGATTTGGAATATCTGCCCGATAACCCCAAGCGAATGCAAAATTAGCGTAATACTATTATTTCAGTTCCTGAAAGCCATGTTTGTGTGGTCAGTGATGTAGAGAACAACATTAGGGGACTTCAGACATCAGATGACATTTTTTAATGTCTTCCTTTGTGTACCATGTAACCCTGGATAACACTCGGCCCTGTCTGTACACCACGGAGTAAGGTGGAGCAGTGTTATAAGGATCCGCAACTCAGGATCTGCTGATTTTGGTTCAAACTCAAATTTCCTACGCGTTGTGTTTGCTTGCGGTTTGCTTAACGCCACACTCAGCAATATTCCAGCTGTGTGATGGCGGATGGTAAATAATCGAGTCTGACCAGACAATCCAGTGATCGGCATCATGAGAATCAATCTACGCAGTAGGGATACGATGACATACATCAATCAAGTCAGCGAGCTTGACCACCCGATCCCGTTAGCTATGTATTGGGGCACACCATACCTTAGCCTATGGGATTCCAGCGGTTAACGACAGTGTTCGGTACGTTGTGAAGGGCACACGTGACTCAGTCGTCTTGGCTGGTGCATAATCCCAGTGCACATCAGTGAACCTTGGGTGTGACAGGAACCTATGGTTGTGTGTTTGAAATAAGAGTCTCGAATTCCTCATAACTCGTCCTGGTACATGTGAAAAAAAAATGGCTGAAAATATCGGAACATCGGCTTACTCAAAGTACCACCATACAAATATATTATGTTTGTTTGGGCAACTTGGTTAAAGCATTGCTTCATCGCACCGGATTTCGGAGACCTAGGCTCCATGCCCTCAGTACATACAAGTGCTATAGTACATTGGTAAAACTGTGAATGACCCTACTCAAGTACTTCTGATACCTTTTGTTGTTGTTGTTGATGATGGTGATGGTGATGAAGAAGAAGAAGACGATGAGATGAGATGATGATGATGATGATGGTGGTGGTGGTGGTGGTGATGATGATGATGACGACGACGACGACGATGGTGATGATGATGGTGGTGGTGACGACGACGACGACGACGACGACGACGATGGTGATGGTGATGGTGATGGTGATGATGGTGGTGGTGGTAGTCCGAAATATTTTACGAGTGCTTCGGGTTGAGCCGGTTACTCACACTGGTGATTTCCCGTCTATTTCAGAGGACGGAGGCTGGTCCCTGTGGGGGTCCTGGTCCAAGTGCGCCGTGACTTGTGGACAGGGAACACGGCAGCGGACCAGGTCATGTGACAGCCCACGTCCCCTGTACGGGGGGAAGGACTGTGTGGGGAAGCTGAAGGAAACTCTCATGTGCTATGGAGGGAGGCCGTGCCCAGGTAAAAAGAGAAATCCAGTTAGTTCACTTATGAACCGTACTGTGCATTGCATTTTATTAGAAAAAGGGTGGTTTTGTTTTTGTTTTTTAAAATTGTAATTATTTTTGTAATAATTGTTACCATGTTGGAGAACTTCTGCACGTGGAGCAATGTCTACTGATTCACATCATGAACAACACCAGCCAGTACAACACGTCCATGGTGGGTACATTGTTTTCGTTCCGTCGGATAATGGGAGATTAATCAGGACTGTCTGCCCAAATTAATTGTCTCAGTCCTATTACGATAAATGTCCGTACCCATCTTTACATTTTTTTTTCAAAATCCCTATAAATTCACATCCCGAGGTATAGACAGCAACGTTATAGATTCGTCTAACCACAACCATATTACAACATGGCTTGGCAAGTAATTAATGTATTGTCGCCGACATCCCTTGGACGTCATCGTCCGTGACAGCCCATTTGTCTCCCGCGACGTCATCGTCTGTGCGTCCTCCTCGTGAACCTACTGAAGACAGACATCAAATAATTGTCGCTTTAGATACTGGTCGATTTTACCTACTTTAACCCTGGAAGGGGAGGGAGTTTTATCAAAGAGGCCCATCTGTTTAGATTACATACACCCCCCCGGCTCTCAGACTAAAAACGAACATGTTCATCACGAATTCGCTAAAGTTTCAGATCAATACGCTCTGTTCTCTTGCACTGAGTTAAATTTATGTGTCGTTCAGTTGTCTTAGAAGCAGTCTTGAATCCCCTATAGGAGATTAATGACATCGCATTGTATCGTCTCATATAAGACGCCAAAACGCTGAAGGGTATTTAACGTGAAGAAAGTCTTCGAGGAAACTTCGCTGTGAAGCATTTGGAAATTGTTTGGGGTTCAATTCATAAATCAAATTTTGTTATTGATTACTAAACCCATGCGTCACTGATTGATTTCGGGGCGGTTTGCGGCAGTGAGGCAAACAAATGGTGAGTATTTAGATTAGTATACAAATATCCATATTTTCATAATCGCATATGATACGAATGTCCAAGCGGTCTGATATTCACATCGCCTTGCAGATTTGCGTCCCTTTGCCGTGTTAGGATACAATGTCAAACTGACCCCGTCAGTTTAATCTGCCATTACATTAAAGGATTGACCCGGGGTTTTTCCTATGGTGTGGGCTCGGACCACTGGTACACCCCGATTTAGATCCTTGGTTCATTCCCTCTACCCGTCAGCTTTACCATAAAAATAATAAACTTGGACCTTCCACATTGGACGTACGACGGACAGCTCGTCGAATCTTGCTCTTAAACAGTGGCTCGTTGGCCTGTAACTGCTATATTTGGGATTACATTTTCTCAGAAAAGTACAGATTCTATACTTTTGTTGAGTCCCACTCGAAATACGAAACCACACTATCAGAGTCAGGCATCTAATGTTGAGTCAACCCGAAAAAAAGTACAAGAATCTGTACATTATTGAGAATGTGTACTCCCAGAAATAACATATGGTACAGTTGACCACTTTCTTAATGGCTCTGTCGAATCATGATTTCCAGTGATTTCCCATGTACAGTGATTTCCCGCAGTAAACACACGAACTGCTTACGTAACACATGAGTTACTGACGTAATCACAAGAACTGTTGACGTGTACCCATGATATTCGGAAGTAATCAGAAGGCTTTGTTGACTTGTACTTATGGTCTATTGACACTGTCGAACACGCTCTCACGTAGCTTTCTGTTGTCTATTTTCAGTTGACGGAGGATGGTCTGAGTGGACAAACTTCGGCTTCTGTCGAGCTGAGAGGTGCGAGAAAGGATTCCAGGTTCGCTCCCGGGGTTGCAATGAGCCGAAACCAGTGCACGGTGGCAGGCCATGTGACGGAGACCAGTATGAACGAATCGAATGCTTCAATGACCAAGGCTGCCCACGTTAGTACACCATCACGTCACATAACACACTCCCTCACTATGTCACAGATGTGTGATCTCTGAATCACCCTCTTATAACAGAAGTTGGACGTTAACAGGTGTTCAACAGATAGGTCAGGGTTAGGTTATTCTCGATCAGTGTGTAAACACGTGCTGTACCGCCTCTGGATACTATTTTGCAAATATTCGATTGGTTGGCCATCTTGAACCTCAAGGTCAAGGTAATAACTATGCGGTAACCCCCTGTTGTCGGTATGTGTAGGTCTCTCGTCAAAGAGAGTGTGCCCGGAGAGTGGAAGGTCTGGGGTTCGAGTCCGGGGTCACCTCATACCTTAAAAGATGCTACTTGTTGCTACTCAGGCACTGGGCATTAAGGTTATAAGACTGGTCTGATATGGTCATGTGACCTAACACTATAAAACACAAGTGGCTACACAAGTACAACCATCTTGAACGCAGCGTTTCACCGCAGATTTCACCTCCCCTCATTGGTACAAAATCTAGGAGGTTTGGGAAATATTGATCTGAGTAATGTGCTATAAGAAGTCCCTGAAAAAATCTGTAATTTGGGTACCATCTTCCCGAGACAAGCGAGTCGACAGGCTATCCATCCTTGCTGAACAAGGCTGGACCTCGGCAAGACCCTAGCATCACCAGTGGCTTTTACGAGTTATGTCCGACCTTTGTGTAACTTACCTCCCTTGAACATGGGATAAAAAGGAATAAGAGTATTTATTGGGAAAAGAGTGGATAAAGAATGCTCGTTAGTCGTCTCAACTGTTAGCTTGTTAGTATCCGACTGTCAGAACACAGAGGATCGTCGTGCAACTCCTAACCTGGGTGGTTTTAAGATAACAGCAACTAATTAGTCTTATAAGATCGGACGCAATATATCATTACAGCTGGAGATCGATCAGTGCATTAGTTGTATAACAGCCAACATGTACTCGCCATGGGCTTCTTCAGGTCAGTCTAAGACTTTCAGGAATATTTAATCGACACTGACTGTAGCTGAAGAAGAATAGGTTTTTGTTGGATGAATTATACCAGATCCAAAACAATCTTAAAATGCATCCAGAGCCATTTTAACTTTGAAGAAGAACCTATTACTGAAATTGGCGACACTGAATTCGTTTCATGTGTGGTAATGGGGTGTATCAATATCTCCTCGTTTACTAACGCTGTGGACGGGAGGCAGGTATAGCTTAGGCCGTCTTTGAAATATAATGCACCACGAGCCATTTCATTTCCTTATCCCTGAAAAACAGATGAGCTGAATCACGTCATTTGAAAGCCAATTTCAGTGTCTGGTTCTGGAATAGGAATAAATATTTGATACAGCGAGAAAATGGGTTTCGTTTTAGTCTTTTAGGCATGTTTTAAAATGTGATTTTCTTATAAACTACTCAAAAGTAGTTAGGAACAGCCGATTCTTTCATATCGCTACAGCAAACAGCTAATCGGGTGTTCCTTAGTATCTTTCGTGTAGTATATGTTTCACTTTTACGTTTCGGTTTTGGAATCGTTCTGAGTATAATACAAACGAGTTAGACTTCTGTCGGATATTAAACTAAACTGGCTAGATTTTGAAAGTACATTCGTCTTTGGCATATTATTCCCCGTTAGCGTGCATTATTAGATTTGACCTCAACTAACCCGCTTGATCATAGAGGTACCTTTATAGCTGATAAGGTGGTCAGATCGGTGTCATTCTGACGACGTGGGATAGTGCTTATAATATCAGTCATTAGGTCCACTCGATTGTTTGCACGTCGATGTCATGTACCTGGCATATAACTCACTTCGAGAAGCGTACATTTCGATATCAGTGTTAGTAGTAAGAGAGGTTCGACGTGGGTCAGATGAAGACAAGTGCAGCAGGGCGTTTGTACTGATATTTTAATGAGACTGTTTTAATGTGCGGTTAGCCGTTGTTTTGGTTCATTGTCTTGGATGGCTTCCAGGGAATGGTTCCTGGTGCGAGTGGAGTCCGTGGTCCAAGTGTACGGCAACGTGTAAGCTGGAGGCCGCCCTCAGGGTGAGACAGAGGGAGTGCAAGTGCCCTGCCCCCAGGAGCGGGGGTGCCGTGTGTGACGGTAAGTACTTATAACAGTCTAGTACATCAAGGGGTGGATTGTTGTCAGCCACCAGTTTATCCGGGATAGACTTGGTCTTCAGCAACCCTTGCTTGTCGTAAGAGGCGACACAATGTAGAGGGTGGTGACTTGGTTGACACATGTCAGCGTAACCCAAGTGTATAGATCGATGCTCATGATATCAGTCACTAGACTACCTTGTCCAGGCCCGATTATGTAAAGAACATAGCAGGAATACATTCCAACTTCGGTGTTTGTTAACCCTTCGTTGTCCACAACGATATGCCAGTGGTTCCTGAGTAATGGATGATACCACGATAAAGTTATGCAATTGTTCACGGAATATGACTCAGATGCTGTGATACGGTTCCGTCTGTTTTCTTTGTTTCAAACCCCTGTTGCAATTCCTGGGCGAAGAAAGAATACAAGTGTACAGTGTGACTAGACTTATTATGTGGCACCGTGGTCCACCATTGTTGTTCATGCTGTGGACCACTGGTTGAATCAGCCTCCTGTCTGTAATACCTGTCTGGAATACCTGTCTGTAATACCTGCCTGAAATACCTGTCTGTAATACCTGTCTGGAATACCTGTCTGTAATACCTGCCTGAAATACCTGTCTGTAATACCTGCCTGGAATACCTGTCTGTAATACCTGCCTGAAATACCTGTCTGTAATACCTGCCTGGAATACCTGTCTGAAATACCTGTCTGTAATACCTGCCTGTAATACCTGCCTGGAATACCTGTCTGTAATACCTGTCTGTAATACCTGCCTGAAATACCTGTCTGTAATACCTGCCTGGAATACCTGTCTGTAATACCTGCCTGGAATACCTGTCTGTAATACCTGTCTGTAATACCTGCCTGGAATACCTGTCTGTAATACCTGCCTGGAATACCTGCCTGAAATACCTGTCTGTAATACCTGCCTGGAATACCTGTCTGTAATACCTGCCTGCACCGTAACACTATTCCACTTTCACATCAGAGGGCCGGGAATCCATGAACTTGTAGCCAAGTGGTAGAAGCGTTCGTTCACCGCCCTAAAAGCGGTGATCGACTCCCGGCATACCGGAAGTGTGTGTCAGTGATAAGCTGCATCAGTACTGTAGGCGCTCTAAATCTCACCATTAATATTTCAACTATCGCCCCACTTTCGCTACATCTACCGCCGAGTGGGGTAATGTTATGAGTATTTTAGATGGATCAAGAAATTATAGCTCAAAACTGCCTTCCGTACAAGGGAGAATTATTTTGTAACATCGGTGCCACGCTGGCTGTTGAAAATTGATCTCATTAATGTATTTTTCACATGCGTAGATGTATATTCTGTGAATCCGGAAGAAAATCGCAACTTACAGAGAATAAATGGGTTTAGAGAAAGACTTTTCGCCTTATTTAACTTTAACGGTCATCTGGAGTCTTGGGAAAAGATTCAGTACAAAAGTTTTAGGCTTGACGGATTGAAAAAGTTGGAATCCCTGTTGGAGAACAGGATTAATCACAGTGCGAGAGCGGCTGCGTCCTGGACGGTAATTAACGTCGTCGTCTAGCCGGTACTCTGGAGACGTGGCCATGTTCGCAGTCCCTTTGACTCTCACTCAGTACATCATGCACTACACAGACCAGAAAAACACGTAGTACGACTGGAGCTGTTGTTCAAACATTTATAGAGGCTTCTTCTTTGAATTGTACATTTGCTTTGATGTTTGTTTTCATCGAGCGTTGATTGAAATATATAAAATCGCTACAAAAGATTTCAAAACTGACGAAAAAGGCAATATATTACAATTTTGTAAGTTAATTTACTTCAAGGGCAAACCGTCTTATTTGTTCAACAATTTATTGCCAGTTTGCATCGCAATGATTTTTACGCTTGTCAAATAAAGTGTAAGTAGAAAGGGTGGTACGTTTGGAGTTAACGCAGATACGGAAAGTGTTTCAGGTTTATCACAGCCTGACAGTTTTTGGCAGTCACGATATGGCTGAAATAATGCTGTTTTGATTAAATATTTTACTTTGCTCTGTTAAACTTGGACGAAAAGCCTGAACTGATGCAGGTCGTAGACTGGTACAGTTAGACCGGAATTGTGCTGTCAGTCTGGGATTCGAACCCATATCTTTGACCATACATAATCTTACACATAGGGGGTTGGAGGAAGGTTCCGGACGCCAAGCTACCTCAACCGCCCAAACATGTGGCAAGTTGGTATCAATACCGGATATGCACCATCTGGATACGGATGGCTTGTGGGCGTGACGTGCCACGTGGCAACCGTCCCTAGTCAAGAGTGTTGCCCAGCTGTAGATGACGTCTTCAAAGAGATGGCGTTTAAATGGCATTAAATTGTCTGGCAATATTCCTGTTTGCAGCAGACCAACCGCACGTTCACATTGATCGTCCGACATTGGCAAGCGTCACTGACGGTTATACAAATGTGTTTAATGATCACCAGATAGCTACAAAATCCGTGTGTGCTGTTCACATTCAAACATACGTGTGTGCCTGTAATGCTTTCAACAACCAGGTAAACATCCTAACTGTGTGGGGGCGGTGGGGTAGCCTAGTGGTTAAAGCGTCCGCTCGTAACGCAGAAGACCCGGGTTCGATTCCCTACATGGGTACAATGTGCCAAGCCCATTTCTGGTGTCCCCCGCCGTGATATTGCTGGAATATTGCTAAAAGCGGCGTAAAACCAAACTTACTCACTCACTCCTGTGTGCGTGCATTAACATGCCCCTGCAAAAGTGATTCACACTCGATGTCTGATGAATGAATTGAAAGATACACTAAACTATTTCAGAATGTATTTTAATTGAACTTCACATGATACCGTTATTTTTGTCAGTTGGTATAGTACCACGCCCACCTATACGTGTTTAACTGATGCTGTTCCAGGTGAAGGCATAACTGTGAAGACGTGTGATGACCTGCCGCCCTGTAAACTACCACGTAAGACCACAAGTTTATATATTCGCACCACCAGTAGGGATTCCGAGGTAGAACTGCTTCCCAGCAACATGTGCTGGTCGTACGTCAAGTTACGTGGCCTGACTGGGGTGATTGCCTGCCCTGTACCTGAAGGCGCTGGTCGCTCCTCATAACAACAATCATTGGATATTCTGGTCGGGAGTCCCGCCAGACAGCCCGCTGTCATATAGCTGTAATATTCCGGATATATTAAACAAAATGTTCAAAGAATATGTCATCACTGATGTACTAATACATCAGTTATGAATCTTATTTGAAGTATTTAACATAGTAATGTAAAGAATCTGATTTAACCAAAACATTAATTCTTTCAAGACGATGTATCTTCCTGGTCCCGATAGCTGTAATATGACCCGGCATAAGTAATTCTCCTTTCTGGAACTCCTTGTCGCTTATGACATTGTTCAGGCTTATCATTATGTGGAACAAGCTAACAGAGATAAGTTGACGCTGGTCTGCTGAACATTAACCTGTTCCTTGTCTCCATACAGTGCCCTCCAGGAGGTCGGACACAAACGCAGGAGGAGATCTGGAGGGGGAAGGCTCGGGTGACGGGGAGGAGGCAGATGAAGAGGAACAGGTGCGTGATGATATATTTTGTATGAACTTTACAATCAACAACAATCAACTGATATGGACATGCATGAAGTACGGGGCTAGGTGTTTTCTTAACAGTATAACTTTGTTTGACCTTGACCTTGTGATTACAATGAGAGTGAACAAGCGTAACGTTATCAAGCAGTTGATGATCATCTGCTCGATAACTGTGTTAAACGTTACACCGAAACGTTCATGCCGATATTACTTGAATAATATTGACACCCAACTGACTGCCTTGTATTGCAGGACGGCAGTGACAACAGTGACGACTACCCCGACCACACGGTCATGGAGGCTAACTAACAAGCGTGCGAGTAGGGGCAGCAAGGGTATGTTCTTGATCCTCCTATATTAATGTTGTCTGTTAGAAATAGTCCTGGTAGCCCGTTCTAGTCGCAAGGGCGTCGTAGTTAATTGGGTGGTTAACAGGGAGGCAGGTTCTGGATCGTTGCTCATACTCTGTTGGTGCATGTATGCCAAGGACACTTTTACATTCGATTACATGACATGTCAAATGTATATAGAAGGGTGTACATTGCACATTTGCTTTAAGTAAGTATTACCATTATGTCATGATTTAGATGTTAAGTCGGATAAAGCTAATCGCTGCAATGCTTCTAAAATAATCAATTGTTTCTGCACCCTCCGACTTAAACTGAAACTAGGATTAGTTCATGTGACAATAACAGAAAGAATGGGTGAGTGTTTTACGCCGCTTTTAGCAACATTCCAGCAATTCACGGCGGGGGACACCAGAAATGGGTTTCACATATTATACCCATGTGGGTAATCGAACCCAGGCCTTCGGCGTGACGAGCAAACGATTTAACCACTAGCCTACCCCGCCGTCCCCATAACAGAAACAAACCAATTGCGTCACATCAGTTTCTGGTTTCTTCTGTGTCGGTTGATAACTCAATAATAGAATGGAAAATAAAAAACCCTGAGATTCCCAGTTGACATTTACTCATTTTGCTGATTTACAGATAGGAACTATTCAGCCTTCCATAATTAGATCATCATTGGTTAGAGCTGATAGAAAGTGAGTGAGTGAGAGAGTTTAGTTTTACGCTGCTTTTAGCAATATTCCAGCTATATTACGGCGGGGGACACCAGAAATGGGCTTCACATATTGTACCCATGTGGGGAATCGAACCCGGGTCTTCGGCCTGACGAACGAACGCTTTAACCACTAGGCTACCCCACCGCCCCGCTGATAGAGAGATAGAAATCAACAGACAGTACATATAGCTACCCGTTTGTTTACATAGATATGTTTCAATAATAGCCACATGGGTACAATGTGTGAAGCCCACTTCTGGTGTCCCCCTCCCTGATGTTGCTGGAATATTGCTAAAGGTGGCGTTAAAAGTCCTGGCGTTCAAATAGCATCCTTAAAAGCGTTGCTCGTCACTGGATGATTTACAGGCCTTCATATAACTGGAATATCACAGAGCGGCATGAAACAATAAGAAGCATTCGCAAACAAATCTGTGGACCGATCACAAGAGCAGTCACAGAAAGCACACGTTTCTAAAAGAAAATATAAACATGTGTTGCTTTTGTTTCAGGAGGCGTTGATGATTGCCCCCAGCAGTTGAAGACTAAAACAAGTCCATCCATATCCCTTTCGCTTACATCGTCATTTCCAGTTGGATACTAGTCTGTCCAAAATGTTGCCCGTTTTAGGCGTTGGACTACAGTGACATATTTTGTTCATTTGTAAGTTGCATGTAAAATAGTCAATGTGTAGGAGGATGGAGCTACTGCCTAGTACAAGATAAATATTGTGCCTTTCCAGTGTAACAAGACTGTAGGTTTTGTATTTTACATATTTAGCCGTGTAGTAAGGAGTGCTTGGATAGCTACGGTGTTTCCACTGATTCAACAATTGTCTTAATGTAAGGAGAAAAGTGTATCACTCTCTTCTGTATATCATTCCACGAATTGAAGTTCACAGTTCCGTTTTAAAAATATAAACCTGTTCACATAAAGTGCTTTCACCCCATTACAAAATGACAGTGAATTTATAAACAAAGCAGCTCAAATTCCACGATATCATCTGTCTCATAGAAGTTTTCATATTAAAATTTATCACATCAGTTTTAACGTGTCGTTTTCTTTTAAATGTACAAGATATAAATACCATGGACCATCAACATCCATCAACCGGAATCTCACTGTTATATTCTAATCGATACTATACCGTGTTTATAAATCAGAATAAATCGGTTCGCCGACGACATGGTTCTGACGTTTTGGAGATAGTTTTATGCCGCTGTGAGCAATATTCAATATATCCTGTACCAGATGGCACAGTCCTACCACGGCCAGCCCTGTTGAAAAAACGCCTGTCGTCGACAGGAACACATGCATGGAATGTATCGAATCTGGGCAGATGAACCTGTGGTTGATATTATGTGCAATGGGACCCATAATCCATCAAGGACAGGACACTCGATCCATGTTCGTATTCATTTGCCCGAGTCCCGCTGGAGATTACTCAGGTTACTAAGGAGTTCCCAATGGAAAACGTCGGACTTTATCCACAACAAGCCAACACGAACACTATTCCCATGGAATGCCACAGTCGATAATTCAATTTAGTGTGCATTAGCCTGGGTTATTGGAGATGTGCTGATCTACGGCTGTCAGCAACGTGGACAGAGGAACATTGATCCGGTGTGGAGGTTCAGCAGAGCTTGAGCACGTGGCAGTCACCGCTGGTTTGAAAGGAGACTGGAGTACTTCAATCGAAGTGACGTCCGCCAGCAAGTAACACAGTCCATACCACCCAGAGATGGTCCCGGACAATTGGTTACGATGACGTTCCATTTTGTCAGGTCAAAGGCAGTCCCAGGTGGCAGTATCCTGTGCAGTTGAGTCGTTTTATTCCTGAAAACGCTTACCTTCGATGTATTCCAATTGAGAGTTATCCCCCTTTTTTCCAGCGGCATGCTCACCTCGCATACCGCTAAAGAAAATGGAGTTATCTCACTTCATCATGCTTAACTAGTTACACATATTAATTTGTACCTTTTTTTACCATACTTCAGAATGCAAACCCACTGTCTACTCACGAACATTTATGTCAAGGATTACTACATATCATGAACAAAAGCATCACCAGTTCTGACATAACGGAATTACCTGCCAGTTGGTCTATACGTTCTGTTGTTGTCCAAGCAGGTTCTCTTCGCTCGTTTGTCATAAGCAGTAGCTATGTTCATAGGCGGATCCCCCTTTGTTCTGAAAGTTTGTTCAATGACCATTGAAACTCGAGTGAAAAACAAATGTGCACCCCTCTTTTCTCAAAAAGCTGTATCCGCCCCTGTATGTTTGTGGTGGGACGTATTCCAACCCCGTAGAATATTTTAGGTGGGACTCGTTCAATTCTTTTACAACAGGAACAAGCCAGCAATGCATAGAGAGCCTACACATTACAATGGGACTTTGGTAGAATAAGAGTTATCGGTCTTGTTTGAAGTATTATTGTGTTCATATACCCAGTACTCCTGCCATGCAAGGGCGGCCTGAAAAACCAGATAACTCAGTGACCGATGGACCGGAAAATGCAGTTAGATAATGTGGACGTACGACTGCTGGGTAGTAGTACAGAGATTCCAATGGTTTTAAGTAAGTAAAAACGTTTGGGAAACAGATGTGTTTCACATCGGGGGTCTACGGAAGCGCTGAGGGCACCTGATGAAATATGATTCAACTTGAGCGCACGAGATATTAACTTGTGCACTCAACATACTAACTCGTGCGCTCAAGATAAATTTGATTTAATCAGGTGCCCTCAGCGCTTCCGTAGGGTCAGTTACCATGTCTCGGGCCAAACATTTTTTCGGGAAGCATACTTAAATATACTAGAGCTCATAATGAATCTCGGTGAATTCACAACATCAGCAGAAACATCGAATGCGACGTTAGCATGAATACAAACCACGTAGGGACTTTGGTCCTTGTGTAATTATACAAATGTGGGTTCGCAAATGGATTCTCAGGCGAAACACCGTTCCGTGTCTTCGACATGTCAGACAAGGGGACGTCACTCTGAGAAGGACACAGATCTAAGGGATTCAATTGGTATGCGATCTTAACTCGTTTCGAGTGGGGTGTTCTGACGTTGCAACTGTACGTGTTGCATGCTACAATTTTTAAGTTGTTACTACAGTCACACCTTTAATAGCGCTGAGCTCGACCAAACCGGTTCGAAACCACTCTCATTTTGCAATTTTTTCCGACAGTTCAACTTGAAGAGCACAAGGAAAATACTCACTGTACGTCCGACATCCGGGCACTCTCACTTGTATCCCCATGAAGGGGTGTGGTTCTCAGTCTGTCAATGTTTGGCCTTCAGTGCACAAACATAACGGACAGACAGACGGTGGACAAACGCAAGTCAATAAACACATCAAGTTCAAGTACTAAAGTACTGTCGGAAATGCTAGAAAAATGCTTTTTAGCCTTAATATCTTTATAAAGGTGATAAATGTACTGTGTTGTCAATATATCAACTCGCCTATTGTCTACCTAATTTTTATTTCAATCGATTTAACATTCCCATGCATTTAAAGGGCAGTTTACAGGAGAGAATGTGGTACCAAAACAGCAACTTAAGATTTCAACAACAGAAATCTGAAATAGTCTTTACATTTATGCTAATAATACAGGTGGTGTAAAAATATGAATTAACGTTTATCCTAAACAAATAAATGTTGAATGTTTGTGTTACTTTACTAAAGTATCGTTTTCTTTATTGAAGAAATATTAATATAAATGTTAAGTCTTGATAAATAAGTTTCCCGTCATGCATGCACATCTTTATCACAGCGTCCACTATGGCCAACGATTTGCAGTCGATTGTTGCAAAGGTTTATAGTTTTTTTCTGCTTAAAAAAGACAGGTAAACCTTTCATTAGTTTAGAAAGGGTTTATTACAGAACTCGTAGAGCTGTTGGCATGTCTTACCAACAAGTTTACAATATTGTAAACAAATCAGACAAGACAGGGACCGTCTCAAATGCAAAACCGGGACGTAAAACCATCCTTGACAACTTTGACAAGGGAGTGCTTAGACGGGCGGTCTACAAACTTTATGAGAAGAAAAATATATATATTCTAAAGAAGCTACACCAGTGACTTTGTTAAATCTTTGGCCAATGTTCACAACTAGATTAAACTGACCGAATTACATCCATATTTTTTCAATGAAATATACTGTTGACATGCAAAACATTTATTAAAACGTTGCACATTTCTACAAGCAGTCGATAAGATAACACAAGTGATAGGATTCTTTCCAATGTACAGTAATTCGTATGTTTATTTCAAAACAAACACACATACACAAATGATCCCTTACATAACTGATACGTATACTATAAGCACACATATTCAACATTTTGCAGAAAACATCTATTGAGATGACCCCTCGCCCGAGCATGTGCTCAGGTGTCAATTTCACCTGTCGATACCGTGCATGCTGATGACGTAACACAGGCAGTTAATGTTTGTTTCAAATAACGTCCAACTACCCCTTATTTTTCTAAGTTTTTGGTATTTTCATCAGTAAAAACACATTTTAGAGCATGTCTCAAAATTTATTCCCTCGGTCTACATTAGGTAGATGTTTCTTGAAGTGATATTTGTTATTTCAGTAACTGTAATACCTCTGAATTTTAAACATAAGTCAAAAAGCATTTTTCTAGCATTTTCGACAGTACTATAGTATTTCTCAGCATCTCATACATAACTCTAATCAGGGAGAGTAAAGACGCTGTAGATTATCCCTGCTCTCATGCATTTGGCTGAGACTCACGGCTTAAACATGGCACGCGCTCACGCCGAAACTGATAAATCTCACAAACAGGTCTGAATGTATTTTTTCCAGTGACTTTTTCTGAGAAGGGAATTTGCAATGCGTTGGCTTCAGGACCCAGGTGGGGAGCTTGGTCCTTGGACCTCATAGCAAGAGTCTTTTTCCCTATTGGGGTTGGAAGCTCTGCAATCTTGCATGGGCTACGTCATTCTTTCAGTAGCCGCTCATAAACAGCCACCACATTTCTGAAAGCCCTCCAACCTTTCACAATCAAAGACGAACACATATCTGAACAAGGTACTTTTCTTTATTTTCAACAGATACAAAATGATCAAGCTCCAAAGTGAAATAATATCAACACTATGCTACATGTACACTATTTTGACTAAAACATATAAAAACATTGTTCAAAGAGTGGAAATGAAACTGCTCCACAAAAATACAAGTGATATGTCCAGCTTTGAAAAGACGAAGGTGTAATCTCGATACATATAGGCAACATCTGGAATGCAGTGCGATAAGATATGACATGAAAACAAGCAACACTATACATGGAAAATAACATTCCACATTTTGTCAAGTCACAACTCATTTTTGTTGTAATCTTTAAAGTTAACACACAATGCTTGATTGAGTTCTTCCCATATTTGTAAAACAAACCCCTTACATACAACACATTGTTATATATTTAATCACTTCTAAAACTTACCGTACATTAACACATTAATCATTTATTGGTCCTGATGAATTTTTACTAGCCAGGGACCACAGGACCAGCGCAAATTTCGCAAACTGCTTACTGTAACAGACACTCAGCAAATGTCATTGCACTCAACTGAAGTTCATCATTGATACTGTTTACCTGTAACTATTTGACGAAATAATAAAAGCAATTAATGACACTGGATCAGTATCTGCTGTAGTTCCTAATGGCCGAGGAAAGAGTGAATTTGAAAAACACCAGTCAGCACTATTTCAGCTACATGGGATACATTGCAGTGTACGATGATATATTGTACAATATGGTAGAGTGAAGACCTCACATAAGTTCTACAAGTTCCAATTTTAAGCCCTTCACATGTCATAACAAGTGGTAAGGCTTCCCTCTTACTGAACTGACACAAAGGAGTGAGTTTAGTTTTACCCCGCACTCAGCAATATTCCAGCTATATGGCGGCGGTCTGTCAATAATCAAGTCTGGACCAGACAATACAGTGATCAACAGCATGAGCATCGACCTACGCAATTAGGATGACATGGGTTAACAGTGTCAGCGAGCAGCATAACCATCCGATCCCGTTAGTTAGCCTCTTACAACAATCATGGGTTACTGAAGGTTCAGTCTAAACCAAAACCTTCACGGGTGGTAATATATGACAGGTGACACAAAGGAAGATGTCTTGAATTCACGGAACGTGACTATTTTCAAATAAAAGGGGAACTTGGCTGGATGAGTGGCTTCATACGACCAAATGAGGTGTAATTTGGACAGTGGTTGTTTTTTTTAATGAAATATGAACATAAATAACTTCTACACTTAATTCAAGTTGCAAAGTGTAACAAACCAGGGCCCACTTGCACAAAGCGATCTTAGCCCTACAATGATTGTAACTCCCATTCTCCAACATAGGCTTAGGATAGTCGTAGTGCTAAGATCGCTTTGTGCAAGTGGGCCCAGATCACAAACTTCCTGTTTGGAACGAATTTCTGATTTTATGGATATAGATAAGATCTCCAGAGGAATCGCCTACAAGATATGGTGCCTTCAGAAACTAAATGGATCCCTGTCAACAACAGGCTGTAGAAGAACATGAAGAACTCACTGGGTTGTTTTGGTCCTGACCTGTCAACAGTTAAACTGTATCAAGGACCACAGGGACTAGGGCATGGCACAGTTGTCATGTGGCCTGAGATGAACACACTGAAATACACACAGCACCTGACATAGAGCTGGAAGGGTCTTCCACAAACTGAAATACACACAGCACCACTGCCAACAGGTGGAAGAAAACTGCACAACACAATACTTGGTGGATGGTGATACAATGAGATGATATGCTGCAAAAATATATCATGGTCTACCTGTGGTATAACTATTGTAATACTGAAGCCAACCACGTGGATTTCTACACAATAAATACTACCGGTAATGGAAATAAATAGAAGGGTTATGCATTCAAATGTAATAAACACCTGCGGAGAAATATCACCTTTTTGTATCAAATAGATTAATGGGCTGTAACCTGCCAGGACACTGACGACATGACAGTTTTAAGAACATTATGCAAAATTATGCTTTAAAATGTATCTGCTTGACTAAATTATACAGAAAGAACTTTTATCTACAACCAAAGGGTTAAAGCCAGCTGGAACTTCCAACACTTTGATTTGAAATATGAAAATGAAGTAATTCAGACTAGCTAGTCTTTTCAATGTAGCAGGCGATATGGATCAAGAACATTGGGTAGTACACGTTATGATGCCAAATACTGTCTCAAGCTACATCACAGCACTTGCCTGGTGATACAAATCAATACAGACATACAAGGCCAATACAAATATTCTTCCAATAACATCTCCAGGATTGGAATATACTGCCTGAGACACTACAAGTCATATCACCATAGCCTTTGTTTACATGATGGAATCTCCATATATGAAAGGAACAAAGCTTTTTCATTTTTGTCATGATTGTTACATATCTCTTTGTTTTATTCAACACCTTATACAAACATTTGATGAATATATCACATGGCATATTACTTACTATCAGCAGGTTGTGATTGGTCAGCATTATCCCTGGTTGGTAAACTTTGTGCAGCCAGGGAATGTAATACATTGTCACTGGTAATGTGTTTATATAGGACCATATATATATAACTGAATATGGTTTGGTCATAAGTCGTGAGTTGCACAAAAAGAACTCTTTCAAATTCTTAATTATGAGAAAAAAAAGACACTACTTTGTTCATGGAGATCTTGACCATTTGTTAAAAAAGAGAAAAAAAGTTCATGCTGAACTGCTTGCAAAATGTTGGTTTCTCAGTGCAAAGAGAAAAAATAAGGGTAAAATGATAAGTCAAAGTATTTTTGCCTCATAGTAGGCTTAGTACATGGTTGTTCACTTTGTCAACTGTGAGGAATGAAGACACAAATTAAGACTGTCCAGTGTAATGCTAATCCATATTGTTTTACTTAGATGGAACCATTTTTTTGAGTACTAGTTTCTTTTAAAAGTTGTGTTTAATACAGTTGTAAGGAATCTCAGAATCTGTGGGTTTTAATGCGATTGTTATACAGTTCTTAGGTCACACAATGCTAATCTGGAGTAAACTGTATGTAACTGATGAAGTGAATACAGGTTGTCATGTACTGAATTTTATACTTTAAGCACCATGTTATTTCACATCGGTAGTTAAATCGTGTCCATTGAATGCCTGAGGAACGTACCATGTGTTAGTAATGATGTGTTGCTTGGTAGATGTTTGTGTTGTAGGATGATCTTGCTATAAGACTATATACCACATTGTGTACAAAGGGCAGAGGCTCCTATCACATTCAACAGGACATAGGAAGATTGCCTAAACAAGGCCTCCTCAGTAACGGGGACATTTTGCAAATATGATAGCTGGTAAATATCATAAATTTTACAGGACATTTGACTATCCTTGAAGGACCATTACCAATGTCATCTTTGCACAGTGTGTGTTCAATGAGGTGATCATGGGTATGTCGAACCCATCACAGCTTGTGTACCAAGATATCTCATACTGTTGTACAGTTTTTAAGTTCATGTATTCAACAGCAAATAAACCAAATTGAAAAAAAATAAAAAAATAAAAAATAAAAAAAAATAATTAAATTTTTGCCTCATTTTCTGCATATTTTCGTTGAAGTTGGTAGTGGTCATATATATACAATACCGTACTAGTATACATTATACTCAGGTTTCCGACTTACAGATTGTCCTATTGTGCAGTGAAACTGCAAGATTTCAGAGCTTGTCGCAACACAAAGAAAGAATGTTTTTTGCCTTACAATTAATATGAAAATACATAAAGGAGAAATATTTCATTAACTCGAGAAAACGTGTTTGGGTTTCATGTGCTGTGAAGATACTGGTATTCTCTACATGTGATATGTACTTTCTGAGCCAGTATTCCACTGACTGAGTTTGGTTTTACGCTGCTTTTAGCAATATTCCAGCAACATCACGGCGGGGGACACCATAAATGGGCTTCACACATTGTACCCATGTGGGGATTCGAACCCGGGTCTTCGGCGTGACGAGCCAACGCTTTACCTACTAGGCAACCCCACCGCCCCAGCCAGTATTCCATGTAAGGAATATTTGATACAGAATTGACTTAACAAGGTCGGCATGAGATCACAACAATAACCAGATGTAACATACATTTTGATTTCCGGGAGACAAAATATTTAGCTAGAGGTCCTGGCATAAAGCCAACAACATCCCAGGAAATGGCAAGGTGACAGTATTCACTCAACAATGGAACACAGTTCAATACTATTAATATTACTAACATTATTGCATTTTGTTGATAGTTGTGAAATCCATATTCAGTCATGACAGAGATTGCAATATCATACAGTTGATTGATAAACACCATTGTCTGCAATATTTCAGCTAGAACAATCACCCTATTGGATTGAAAATGCTCTTTTCTACCATTTACACCTTTCACATGTATTTAGACAAAACTGTCTAAATGTTTCCAGTGAAAATCTAAAAGAAGTACCTCTCATTAAAGTCTAAATGACAGCTTCATCCTGTGAAATACACAATGCCATTTTAGAAAGTGGTCAAATGTAACAAATGTTATATTTGGGATTAGACTTTCTCAGTAAAGTACAGATTCTAGTACTTTTTGGGTTGAGTCCCATCCGTGATTCGAACCCACATCCTCAGAGTCAGGCACCTAATCGCCAGCACACAGTCGGACGCCTAGACTGCTCAGCCTTAGCGTCTGACTTTGTGTGCTGGCGATTAGGTGCCTGACTCTGAGGGTTCGAATCACGGATGGGCTGGCTGAGTTTGGTTTTACGCTGCTTTTAGCAATATTCCAGCAACATCACGGCGGGGGACACCAGAAATGGGCTTCACACACTGTACCCATGTGGGGATTCGAACCCGGGTCTTCGGCGTGACGAGCCAACGCTTTAACCACTAGGCTACCCCACCGCCCCAATCCCGGATGGGACTCAACCCCAAAAGTACTAGAATCTGTACTTTACTAAGAAAGTGTAATCCCAAATATAACATACATTACAGTTTCATAATGTGTTCAACAGGGCTCTTTATCTGAAGGTCTCTCATGAAAGTTTCACTTTAATAATAGCAAGTCCTCCCAAGAAGCAAACATCAACATAGAAGTAGAAGTTACCTACCTTTAAGTTGACAGACGCTAACAAACATATTGGGAGCATGTTGACATGAAATATTCAATACTGGTAAAAAATGTAACAATAACAACAAATATTTAAATAGGTGATCATCGCTGACAACTTTGTCCAACCTATGATACAGACACAAGAGTATTGATCAAAAACAGTGTGATACACTTAGCTTTTACTCAAATGAACCTTCGATCCTTCTTAAACATGTTACTTTGTTCATATACTTACAGTTGACCTTGATTTAATAATCTGCTGCAAGTCTGTACAATATCTGACTTGGAGGTAATGTTTGTACACAATACTGTGTACTTTGTGCTCAGTATCAAGCTTGAAGCTTTGTCTGATTCTTGGTACCATTGTTCGTGAGGTTTAATTAGTTGGTTGGTACAATCAATTGGTATTGTGAACATCTGTACAATATCAGACTTGGAGGTAATGTTTGTACACGATTCTGTGTACTTTGTGCTCAATATCAAGCTAAAAGCTTCATGTGATTCTTAGTACCAATGCTCGTAAACAGGTGCTCTGCCATAAACTCTTAGCTGATAAGCATTCCCATAGGTAGGGCAGCACTATAGTATAAACATATGGGGGCACCTTTGAATTATACATATTGTTCCAAAAAAGCAGTTTCATATATTAATACTAACTACTGACTAGTACTAATTGGTGAATGGCAATACAGTTTTATATCAACTGTACATCTGTAGGAAACTGGCACAGGAACAGACAACAGTTTTAGCTGTCAATCACAGGCCATTGTATAGAGAGGGTTTGCAGGGAACATGTAGAAATGATGTTACCATGTTTAATCATCACTGTCTGGGTGTAACCACTGTAAAAGGAACTCACACCATTGTGGGCCTGGCAAGGGTTAGTGTATGTCTTGTAAGGTAATGTCGTGTATTTACACAAAGCAAGGAGAGCCTACACCGAGTTTTGGCCCAGGAAAACTCACACTCTCTACACGTCACTGAATGAGTTTTGTCACTTTGAGTTCAAAGAATGCACACATATCACTGACAGAGCTTTGTCATAGGTTTGTGGCCGAGTTGGTGAGGGACAACACTTCATGGGGTTTAATTAGTTTGTTGGTACAAACCATTTGTATTGTGAACATCACTAAAATAATTGTACAACTAAGGTTTATCACATCAGCCAAAAATGTTAGCTTATTAGCTATCTGGAGATTGGTACTTGAAGATACCCGTGCATAGATTACAGTCGGATTTGAAACCTGGGCGATATTTTAGGGAAACAGGTGCTTGTGACAAGAAGTCCAAGTTACTTGTAAACTGTACAGTACACCATGTTATTAGAGTGTGACCAACAGCCTTTCCAGGCTGCCAAATGGTGGTGCAGACTTGGAGATGAGATGGTGAAGGGAGACTGGTCAAGATGTGAGATATTGCTGAATGAAGGCTTTCGGTTGGATGTAGACAACTTGGCGAGTTCCATCGGTAACTTGAAGCGTTTTGTCAGGTTTTTCTGAAAACATCACAATAATGAGAGATGGAAGGAGCTATATTGTGTGCCAGGGCAAATTAAACATACAATAACAAGTACTTTGAAATTAACAATAACTATTATTTTGAGATATAGCTATCTGAATAGTCTCTTTGCTTAAGTGGATACACATACACTGGCTGGAAGATATGACTATTATGACATTATACTAAAGAGAAACAACCGTAACAACTTCCGTTTACTTCCAATATGAGTGTCTCATGGTAACCAAAGTCATTGTTAAATGACCATTACAAATCCCAATATTCAACTATATTTCCTTGCTGACCATAAAAGGCTATGTTGGTACAAGTTTGAGTATTACCTGAGACAACAAGGCCAAGTCGAAGTGATTACCTGAGACAACAAGGCTATGTATGTATGATTACCTGAGCCAACAAGTCTATGTATGTATGATTACCTGAGCCAACAAGGCTATGTATGTATGATTACCTGAGCCAACAAGTCTATGTATGTATGATTACCTGAGCCAACAAGTCTATGTATGTATGATTACCTGAGACAACAAGTCTATGTATGTATGATTACCTGAGACAACAAGGCTATGTATGTATGATTACCTGAGCCAACAAGTCTATGTATGTATGATTACCTGAGCCAACAAGTCTATGTATGTATGATTACCTGAGCCAACAAGTCTATGTATGTATGATTACCTGAGCCAACAAGTCTATGTATGTATGATTACCTGAGCCAACAAGTCTATGTATGTATGATTACCTGAGCCAACAAGTCTATGTATGTATGATTACCTGAGCCAACAAGTCTATGTATGTATGATTACCTGAGCCAACAAGTCTATGTATGTATGATTACCTGAGCCAACAAGTCTATGTATGTATGATTACCTGAGCCAACAAGGCTATGTATGTATGATTACCTGAGCCAACAAGTCTATGTATGTATGATTACCTGAGCAAACAAGTCTATGTATGTATGATTACCTGAGCCAACAAGGCTATGTATGTATGATTACCTGAGCCAACAAGGCTATGTATGTATGATTACCTGAGCCAACAAGTCTATGTATGTATGATTACCTGAGACAACAAGGCTATGTATGTATGATTACCTGAGACAACAAGGCTATGTATGTATGATTACCTGAGACAACAAGGCTATGTATGTATGATTACCTGAGACAACAAGTCTATGTATGTATGATTACCTGAGACAACAAGGCTATGTATGTATGATTACCTGAGCCAACAAGGCTATGTATGTATGATTACCTGAGCCAACAAGTCTATGTATGTATGATTACCTGAGCCAACAAGTCTATGTATGTATGATTACCTGAGCCAACAAGTCTATGTATGTATGATTACCTGAGCCAACAAGTCTATGTATGTATGATTACCTGAGCCAACAAGTCTATGTATGTATGATTACCTGAGCCAACAAGTCTATGTATGTATGATTACCTGAGCCAACAAGTCTATGTATGTATGATTACCTGAGCCAACAAGTCTATGTATGTATGATTACCTGAGCCAACAAGTCTATGTATGTATGATTACCTGAGCCAACAAGTCTATGTATGTATGATTACCTGAGCCAACAAGTCTATGTATGTATGATTACCTGAGCCAACAAGTCTATGTATGTATGATTACCTGAGCCAACAAGTCTATGTATGTATGATTACCTGAGCCAACAAGTCTATGTATGTATGATTACCTGAGCCAACAAGTCTATGTATGTATGATTACCTGAGCCAACAAGTCTATGTATGTATGATTACCTGAGCCAACAAGTCTATGTATGTATGATTACCTGAGCCAACAAGTCTATGTATGTATGATTACCTGAGCCAACAAGTCTATGTATGTATGATTACCTGAGCCAACAAGTCTATGTATGTATGATTACCTGAGCCAACAAGTCTATGTATGTATGATTACCTGAGCCAACAAGTCTATGTATGTATGATTACCTGAGCCAACAAGTCTATGTATGTATGATTACCTGAGCCAAGTCAAGTATGTATGATTATGTATGATTACCTGAGCCAACAAGTCTATGTATGTATGATTACCTGAGCCAACAAGTCTATGTATGTATGATTACCTGAGCCAACAAGTCTATGTATGTATGATTACCTGAGCCAACAAGTCTATGTATGTATGATTACCTGAGCCAACAAGTCTATGTATGTATGATTACCTGAGCCAACAAGTCTATGTATGTATGATTACCTGAGCCAACAAGTCTATGTATGTATGATTACCTGAGCCAACAAGTCTATGTATGTATGATTACCTGAGCCAACAAGTCTATGTATGTATGATTACCTGAGCCAACAAGTCTATGTATGTATGATTACCTGAGCCAACAAGTCTATGTATGTATGATTACCTGAGCCAACAAGTCTATGTATGTATGATTACCTGAGCCAACAAGTCTATGTATGTATGATTACCTGAGCCAACAAGTCTATGTATGTATGATTACCTGAGCCAACAAGTCTATGTATGTATGATTACCTGAGCCAACAAGTCTATGTATGTATGATTACCTGAGCCAACAAGTCTATGTATGTATGATTACCTGAGCCAACAAGTCTATGTATGTATGATTACCTGAGCCAACAAGTCTATGTATGTATGATTACCTGAGCCAACAAGTCTATGTATGTATGATTACCTGAGCCAACAAGTCTATGTATGTATGATTACCTGAGCCAACAAGTCTATGTATGTATGATTACCTGAGCCAACAAGTCTATGTATGTATGATTACCTGAGCCAACAAGTCTATGTATGTATGATTACCTGAGCCAACAAGTCTATGTATGTATGATTACCTGAGCCAACAAGTCTATGTATGTATGATTACCTGAGCCAACAAGTCTATGTATGTATGATTACCTGAGCCAACAAGTCTATGTATGTATGATTACCTGAGCCAACAAGTCTATGTATGTATGATTACCTGAGCCAACAAGTCTATGTATGTATGATTACCTGAGCCAACAAGTCTATGTATGTATGATTACCTGAGCCAACAACAAGAGCTATGTATGTATGATTACCTGAGCCAACAAGGCTATGTATGTATGATTACCTGAGCCAACAAGTCTATGTATGTATGATTACCTGAGCCAACAAGGCTATGTATGTATGATTACCTGAGCCAACAAGTCTATGTATGAATGATTACTAAGAAAACAAGGCAAAGTATGAATGATTACCTGAGACAACAAGGCAAAGTATGAATGATTACCTGAGACAACAAGGCTATGTATGAATGATTACTAAGAAAACAAGGCAAAGTATGAATGATTACCCGAGACAACAAGGCAAAGTATGAATAATTACCTGAGACAACAACACTATGTATGAATGATTACCTGAGACAACAAGGCTATGTATGAATGATTACCCGAGACAACAAGGCAAAGTATGAATAATTACCTGAGACAACAACACTATGTATGAATAATTACCTGAGACAACAAGGCTATGTATGAATGATTACCTGAGACTACAACGCTAAGTCGGAGCAGAGGGAATTCCTTCTGGCTGAACTTGGACACACACAGTCCGAGGCTGTAGGCGCTGCGCATGTAGCGATCGCAATCACATTGGGAGATAAGCCGCACAATGCCACGCTTCCTGAAAGTGGAGATCAGCGCCAGGGTCTTTTGCACCAAACACTGCTCCGAGTCTGTCTCTCTGTAAATTTACAGGCCATATACTAGATTTTGGCAGTTTATTACATGTCATGTATTTGTGTTCACATGTTTCCAGTGTAACATAGTACAAGTTCCCTGGTGTGTTCATGTTGCCAGTGAAACATTGTATAAGTTCCCTGGTGTGTTCATGTTGCCAGTGAAACATTGTATAAGTTCCCTGGTGTGTTCATGTTGCCAGTGAAACATTGTACAAGTTCCCTGGTGTGTTCATGTTGCCAGTGAAACATTGTACAAGTTCCCTGGTGTGTTCATGTTGCCAGTGAAACATTGTACAAGTCCCCTAGTGTGTTCATGTTGCCAGTGTAACATTGTACAAGTCCCCTAGTGTGTTCATGTTGCCAGTGTAACATTGCACAAGTTCCCTGGTGTGTTCATGTTGCTAGAGTAACATTGCACAAGTCACTTGGTGTGTTCATGTTGCCAGTGTAACATTGTACAAGTTCCCTGGTGTGTTCATGTTGCCAGTGTAACATTGTACAAGTCCCCTGGTGTGTTCATGTGTTGCCAGTGTAACATTGTACAAGTCCCCTAGTGTGTTCATGTATCTAGTGTATCATTGTACAAGTTCCCTGGTGTGTTCATGTTGCCAGAGTAACATTGTACAAGTTCCCTGGTGTGTTCATGTTGCCAGTGTAACATTGTACAAGTCCCCTAGTGTGTTCATGTATCTAGTGTATCATTGTACAAGTTCCCTGGTGTGTTCATGTTGCCAGAGTAACATTGTACAAGTTCCCTGGTGTGTTCATGTTGCCAGTGTAACATTGTACAAGTCCCCTAGTGTGTTCATGTATCTAGTGTATCATTGTACAAGTTCCCTGGTGTGTTCATGTTGCCAGTGTCACATTGTACAAGTCCCCTAGTGTGTTCATGTATCTAGTGTATCATTGTACAAGTTCCCTGGTGTGTTCATGTTGCCAGTGTAACATTGTACAAGTTCCCTGGTGTGTTCATGTTGCCAGAGTAACATTGTACAAGTCACCTGGTGTGTTCATGTTGCCAGAGTAACATTGCACAAGTCACTTGGTGTGTTCATGTTGCCAGAGTAACATTGTACAAGTCACCTGGTGTGTTCATGTTGCCAGTTTAAGATTGTACAAGTCCCCTAGTGTGTTCATGTATCTAGTGTATCATTGTACAAGTTCCCTGGTGTGTTCATGTTGCCAGAGTAACATTGTACAAGTCACCTGGTGTGTTCATGTTGCCAGTTTAAGATTGTACAAGTCCCCTAGTGTGTTCATGTATCTAGTGTATCATTGTACAAGTTCCCTGGTGTGTTCATGTTGCCAGTGTAACATTGTACAAGTTCCCTGGTGTGTTCATGTTGCCAGTGTAACATTGCACAAGTCCCCTAGTGTGTTCATGTTGCCAGAGTAACATTGTACAAGTCACCTTGAACAAGTCCCCTGGTGTTCATGTTGCCAGAGTAACATTGTACAAGTCACTTGGTGTGTTCATGTTGCCAGAGTAACATTGTACAAGTCACCTGGTGTGTTCATGTATCTAGTGTATCATTGTACAAGTCCCCTGGTGTGTTCATGTTGCCAGTGTAACATTGTACAAGTTCCCTGGTGTGTTCATGTATCTAGTGTATCATTGTACAAGTTCCCTGGTGTGTTCATGTTGCCAGTGTAACATTGTACAAGTTCCCTGGTGTGTTCATGTTGCCAGTGTAACATTGTACAAGTCACCTGGTGTGTTCATGTTGCCAGATTAACATTGTACAAGTTCCCTGGTGTGTTCATGTTGCCAGTGTAACATTGTACAAGTCACCTGGTGTGTTCATGTTGCCAGAGTAACATTGCACAAGTCACCTGGTGTGTTCATGTTGCCAGAGTAACATTGTACAAGTCACCTGGTGTGTTCATGTTGCCAGTTTAAGATTGTACAAGTCCCCTAGTGTGTTCATGTATCTAGTGTATCATTGTACAAGTTCCCTGGTGTGTTCATGTTGCCAGAGTAACATTGTACAAGTCACCTGGTGTGTTCATGTTGCCAGTTTAAGATTGTACAAGTCCCCTAGTGTGTTCATGTATCTAGTGTATCATTGTACAAGTTCCCTGGTGTGTTCATGTTGCCAGTGTAACATTGTACAAGTTCCCTGGTGTGTTCATGTTGCCAGTGTAACATTGCACAAGTCCCCTAGTGTGTTCATGTTGCCAGAGTAACATTGCACAAGTCCCCTGGTGTGTTCATGTATCTAGTGTATCATTGTACAAGTCCCCTGGTGTGTTCATGTTGCCAGTGTAACATTGTACAAGTTCCCTGGTGTGTTCATGTATCTAGTGTATCATTGTACAAGTTCCCTGGTGTGTTCATGTTGCCAGTGTAACATTGTACAAGTTCCCTGGTGTGTTCATGTTGCCAGAGTAACATTGTACAAGTCACTTGGTGTGTTCATGTTGCCAGAGTAACATTGTACAAGTCACTTGGTGTGTTCATGTTGCCAGAGTAACATTGTACAAGTCACCTGGTGTGTTCATGTATCTAGTGTATCATTGTACAAGTCCCCTGGTGTGTTCATGTTGCCAGTGTAACATTGTACAAGTTCCCTGGTGTGTTCATGTATCTAGTGTATCATTGTACAAGTTCCCTGGTGTGTTCATGTTGCCAGTGTAACATTGTACAAGTTCCCTGGTGTGTTCATGTTGCCAGTGTAACATTGTACAAGTCACCTGGTGTGTTCATGTTGCCAGATTAACATTGTACAAGTTCCCTGGTGTGTTCATGTTGCCAGTGTAACATTGTACAAGTCACCTGGTGTGTTCATGTTGCCAGAGTAACATCATACAAGTCACCTGGTGTGTTCATGTTGCCAGAGTAACATCATACAAGTCACTTGGTGTGTTCATGTTGCCAGAGTAACATTGCACAAGTCACCTGGTGTGTTCATGTTGCCAGATTAACATTGTACAAGTCACCTGGTGTGTTCATGTTGCCAGATTAACATTGTACAAGTCACCTGGTGTGTTCATGTTGCCAGAGTAACATTGTACAAGTTCCCTGGTGTGTTCATGTTGCCAGAGTAACATTGTACAAGTCACCTGGTGTGTTCATGTTGCCAGAGTAACATTGCACAAGTCACCTGGTGTGTTCATGTTGCCAGATTAACATTGTACAAGTCACTTGGTGTGTTCATGTTGCCAGAGTAACATTGTACAAGTCACCTGGTGTGTTCATGTTGCCAGATTAACATTGTACAAGTCACCTGGTGTGTTCAGGTATCTAGTGTATCATTGTACAAGTCACCTGGTGTGTTCATGTATCTAGTGTATCATTGCACAAGTCACTTGGTGTGTTCATGTTGCCAGAGTAACATTGTACAAGTCACCTGGTGTGTTCATGTATCTAGTGTATCATTGTACAAGTCACCTGGTGTGTTCATGTTGCCAGTGTAACATTGTACAAGTCACCTGGTGTGTTCATGTATCTAGTGTATCATTGTACAAGTCCCCTGGTGTGTTCATGTTGCCAGTGTAACATTGTACAAGTCCCCTAGTGTGTTCATGTATCTAGTGTATCATTGCACAAGTCACTTGGTGTGTTCATGTTGCCAGAGTAACATTGTACAAGTCCCCTAGTGTGTTCATGTATCTAGTGTATCATTGCACAAGTCACTTGGTGTGTTCATGTTGCCAGAGTAACATTGTACAAGTCCCCTAGTGTGTTCATGTATCTAGTGTATCATTGTACAAGTCCCCTAGTGTGTTCATGTGTTGCCAGAGTAACATTGTACAAGTCACCTAGTGTGTTCATGTTGCCAGTGTAACATTGGACAAGTTCCCTGGTGTGTTCATGTTGCCAGAGTAACATTGTACAAGTCACCTGGTGTGTTCATGTTGCCAGTGTATCATTGTACAAGTTCCCTGGTGTGTTCATGTTGCCAGTGTAACATTGTATAAGTCACCTGGTGTGTTCATGTTGCCAGTGTAACATTGGACAAGTTCCCTGGTGTGTTCATGTTGCCAGAGTAACATTGTACAAGTCACCTGGTGTGTTCATGTTGCCAGTGTATCATTGTACAAGTTCCCTGGTGTGTTCATGTTGCCAGAGTAACATTGTATAAGTCACCTGGTGTGTTCATGTTGCCAGTGTAACATTGGACAAGTTCCCTGGTGTGTTCATGTTGCCAGTGTAACATTGTACAAGTCACCTAGTGTGTTCATGTTGCCAGTGTAACATTGGACAAGTTCCCTGGTGTGTTCATGTTGCCAGAGTAACATTGTACAAGTCACCTGGTGTGTTCATGTTGCCAGTGTATCATTGTACAAGTTCCCTGGTGTGTTCATGTTGCCAGTGTAACATTGTATAAGTCACCTGGTGTGTTCATGTTGCCAGAGTAACATTGTACAAGTCACCTGGTGTGTTCATGTTGCCAGTGTAACATTGCACAAGTCACCTGGTGTGTTCATGTTGCCAGTGTATCATTGTACAAGTTCCCTGGTGTGTTCATGTTGCCAGTGTAACATTGTACAAGTCACCTGGTGTGTTCATGTTGCCAGAGTAACATTGTACAAGTTCCCTGGTGTGTTCATGTTGCCAGAGTAACATTGCACAAGTCACTTGGTGTGTTCATGTGTTGCCAGAGTAACATTGCACAAGTCACCTGGTGTGTTCATGTGTTGCCAGAGTAACATTGCACAAGTCACCTGGTGTGTTCATGTTGCCAGAGTAACATTGTACAAGTCACCTTGAACAAGTCCCCTGGTGTTCATGTTGCCAGTGTAACATTGGACAAGTTCCCTGGTGTGTTCATGTTGCCAGAGTAACATTGCACAAGTCACCTGGTGTGTTCATGTTGCCAGAGTAACATTGTACAAGTCCCCTGGTGTTCATGTGTAGTTACTGACAACACCAGTATGGGGCAGAGGCGGCCAGCACCGTAGCCCAGTCCTGATGGTTTACCTTGTTTTAGCCAACTGCATGATGACACTGGAGTGGACAAGCATCAGCCACTTCTTCCCAGACCGACACAGTGCATACATGCCAGACAGGATGTCATCCAGATCGCCTGGAACAGGCAGTACATACTCATCAATCACCTCAATTAACAACAGTCTTGTTTTGAAACTGCTTCTAAACAATATCTATCTGATTTAGGAAACTGTCAGCAAAAGTCAGCGATATCCTGGTCACAGATGGCTGTTTGAAGATGCAATCCAGAAATACCCTATGTACGGCCATCTTCTTGATTTGTATCTTCTAATTATTATAATCTAGCAAAACTGACTTTGTTCCTCTTGTTTAAAGAAGTCTTACCTGGTTTTCCCTGAAGAAGGAAGTCATCATCAGCATTGACAATACCACCCTCAGAGACACCAGCGCGGAGGCCCCAGGGATTGTCAGGCAAAGACTCGTACACCTGCTTCTGAACATCAGCAAACTGCCGAAGCACCGTCCTCTCCCCCTGACTAAGTGTGCACTGTAGTCTCTCTGGCATCGGCACTTCATCACAGTAGGTGTAGTACGTACTGGACAGGTTCAGTCCAGGCTCCAGGCCAACATCAGGTCTTCCCTCATGCATGTCATGCGTGAAATCTTCCAGGTCGTCAAGGCAGGATTTTATATGATCTTGAATCCTTTCCCTAAATTCTGGCACTTCAACGTCTTTTTCAACTGATCCAAGACCCAGGTCATCATTGTCCGAGATGTCTTCAAGACACTGATCAAACTTGGTAATTTCTTTCAAAGGTGTAACTGCTTCTGTGTCAGAATCTTGGCTTGATACTGGCAAAGGTTTGCTTTTGTGATCACTGTTTGTGATACGAGTCACACAAGGCTCGTCTGTGAAGTGTGGAGGGCTACAATCATCTCCTGGCATACCAGGTTCAATTTTGTCATCATTTTCAGTAATAGTATGAGAGACTGTTTGTTTGAGCAGCTGACCAATCTTCTGCTGCTGCTGCAAGGTACCATGTTCCACACAAACAGGAGACTCCCTCAAAGGTGGGGTGCAAGTTCTGGTGGTCACAGCTGTTTGTGTGGACATGAATGCTGTGGGATATGTTATCACTGAAGGATATGATGGTAACGAGTTCTGATATGGATGGAAATTAACACACAGTGATGCGTTTGCATTCCATGGCAGGCCAGAGGTGCTGGACAAGTTGGACACTGGGTACGGTAAGGAACTAGGTGCATAGTTTAGTGGAGAAACAGATTGAGGATAAAGAATACACGGTTGTGGATATGCATGTTGGTTACATTGCTGAATCTGAGGCCACAGATGCATCATACGAGGATTGAAGTAAACTCGGTTTCTTTGTTCAGAAAGCTGAAAGGCAGTCCCAGGTTGTATTGTTGGCTGGATGTCAGATCTTTCTCCAACCAAACCTGGCTTGCTCATCAAGTGCGTAGAATCGGTACTGCTCATCTGTGCAGATGGTTTTAGAGTAGGTAAAAAGTGTGGTAGCTTGTAACTCACAGCTGGGGCGAGGGATTCGATTTGCTGGATAGGACTCAATCTAGAATCTCTAACACATTCACCTCCAATCGTTGGAATCTTTTCCCCCATTTTTAACAGGCCAGAGGTATCCAAGTCTTTTGGACCTTTCTGCGATTCACTATTATCTAAGACAGATTTTACATATCCATCAGCTTCTTTGTCTGAATCGTCGGAATCTTCTACTACTATAATCTGGGACATTACATTTTCCACCATAGGTTCAACATCCTTATAGTATTTATTCAATTCAAAAAGATCACATTTAGATGGTGAAAGACTGTGTTTGCTGAAAGACTTATGCTGAGGAATATCTGGGTATTTTGCTTCCTGTGTCCTTTGTTCTCCAACTGAGTGTATTTCAGAAACCATGTTGGAGATGTTATAAGACGTGTTTGCTGCTGCAATACTTGTCACAGGAGACTGATTAGCTGCATCTGATGTTGATACACTAGACTCTGCCCTGGTTTTGAGGCTTGAATTTTCACAATTCTGGAAGCTGCCTTTGACAGATCCCCCATTGTTTACAAGACTGTTCTGCTCATTACTGGCTTCCACACATGGTTTCATTGCTTCACGATGGTCGGTCCGGCTCCTGAAGCTACCAAATGAATCACCAGCTTCATGTGTATTGTTATCATTAGGTCCCAGGCCTCCATGAGAAGGATCTGGGTTTTCTGCCAGACTTTCAAACTTCCTCCTCTTATTTGCAGGAAGCTCACGATCCCTTGACTGTGTTTCATGATCAAAATATTCCACAGTTAAATTACGAAGGATGGCATCCCCGGTAGTCTGAAGTCCTTGTATTGCACCATTCATCAGTCTTTCTACTGTCTCTGTAGCATGTTGAGTATCACCAGTGTGACTATCACAGAGTAGATCCTGAGCAGATATATTACTGTCTTCTTGGAATGGTGAAGGAGGTACTGGAACCTGAGAGGACGACAGCTGCATTGCCTGAGGTGAGGATTGTTCCATGGTTGATCCTGAAGCTCTGCCCTGAGTTTTCGTTGTTCCTCCACTGGAATGATACTTAGAAGGCTGAGTAATCCTAAATGTCTCCACCTTTCTTTTTTCTGACGCAAGTACATTTTTGTTGATTATTGTGGAATGTTTTTTCTCTGGGTTTTCTTGTTGGGTCTTTCCTGAAGCGGAGATGATATCACTTCTCAGATGCAAGGAATTTACTTCTAAATTCTCCCCAGTTTCTCCTCCAGATCTTTCTTCAGCACTGACTTCCATTTTGGGAGCCACTTTGAGTTGAGGTAAATTTCGAACATGATCTCCCATCTCCGACTTACTTGTGTTGGACTTTCCTGACTTAAGCAAACAGCAGCTGTGTTCAGTTTGTAAATCTGCTCCAAGGTCCATTTTTGGCGTGTGCAGTGATGCGTTTTGTTCATCAAGTGGACTTGTTCGTTCAAGGCTCGGATGTTTCTGTGCTGACATCAAGGAGCTTGTAAGTCCAAGCTGAATACGTCTCGCCTGAGCTGCACATGTTATTTGTTCAGCAAGCGTGGGAGCAAAAAGCTCCCTCTCCAACATGGAGTTGACTGTAGGTTTCCTGTCTGGCTTGATGTTGCGGAGTTGACTATCAGTGTGTTGCTGAGACTGCTCCAGATCCCTCTTCTGCAGGATGGCCTTGTTCCTCCTGGGGTCCAATGAAGGGTTGTCATGAAGCTCAAGAAGATGGTAGTTACCAAGCTGCGGGTTACGTTCATACTCTGAAAACAGACGTGAATCAATCAATATGTATATTTCTGCTACACACAAGTCACATGTGGAGTAAAGTGGGTGAGTGAGTTGAGTTTTAATGCTGTTTTGCACAGCAATTAAAGTTATGTCTTGGCATAGCAGCTGTCAAGCAGCATTAACGAGAAAAGTGTTGATGAAAGATGACCTAAAATGTGGTATGATTTTCTCTATATTTTATTCTTTTCATGGTTACATTGGACTATGAAATAAGCCTGATCAACATACTAAAATCCCTCCAGGGGTCAAGGGTGAAGGGGAAGAGCACATGGTCCCATCTGTTGAACCGGTCGGGATGGGGACCAGTTGCACGACGAGGTTTCTTATTCTTAGCTGCACAACAAAGAAAAGCAATGGATACATTACAATTTTTTAAAATATCTTCTAGAATTGAACATTTGAGGGTAGCATGTAAATTATTAATAGGACTAAAGACTAAAAGTTGCATAAAAGATATAAAGAATTTTTTTCCACAATTTGCTTATATATGAAAATTCCACTGGAGACATCATCTTGTAATAAGTTCTGCTACCATTTACCAAATGGTACAAATGGTAGGAAAACAAGGAAATACCACTTCCTGATTTGACAAGTCTTGGTCTAGCCGACTCGAAATAATTTCAAACCCTGCCTAAGTGTGTGATATTTTCAGGAATCTAATCACTAACATGCAAAGCAAAAATAAATCTAATATTCACCTCTTCCACTTCCATGTTCCTTGCGTTTGCTTTTGTTTGAAGACACTGTCTTTTTTCTGTTTCCATTCCCGCACAAGTCTTCGTTCCTAGAGTTGATCAAAGTCGAACATGTAGTGTCATTCTCTCCGTTCAACTGCTTGGCGAAAGTCTTAAGTCGTGGTGACAGGCATTCTTCAGCTGTTTTATTTCTGGGGAAGGGGGCTAGCATATCAAAATCCGGAGAGCAAGGTTGAGGCAAGGACTCACATGAAGAGTCTTGTACATCCACTGGGTCAACATGTCCGAGAAAGGAGGTCAGCTTCTGGTCAAGAACAATACTGTGTGGTTGGGGAGCAAGCTGTTCAAAGTCATCATCTGCTTTTGAATTATGCTCAATGTCATGTTTGACTTTCGGTTTTTGAGTTCCGAGATAGCTGTTTAATTCCTCCAGCATCTCAGCAGCCTCGTTCCTCCTCCTTGCCACGTCTTCTGTGCGAGCTTTCTTAACATGAGTACCAGCAGCCTTTCCATCAGCTTTTAGAGAAACTGAATCACTGCCTGTGTGAGTTGTTAAACCACAAGCAATACTTTCACCAGTTGGCACGGTTTTCAAGACAGCTGGAACAGCAAGGTCAAGTCCAGTTTGGGATGTCCACATGTCTTGGAACAAAGCAAATGACCTCTTTCTTAAGGAAAGAGTATCAGGTGCAGACAACGTCCTTCCCAACACACGTCTCCCAGGACTATAACTGTTTCCTCTCAGTGGACCGTCCACTGTGGTGCTAATCTGAGATTGTCCATCAACATGACCTGGGGCTTCCTGCTCACTGTCACTCAAGTCCATTGGTGCCTCCTGCAGGTCATCAAGACCATGTGAGGACACCTTCATCTCACTGCTTCTTGCATTTACTTCACAGTCTGGTATTACAGCTTGATTCAATTCAGGAACAGGGATTTTCACTGCATCAAGCTGGTGAGGGTCTTGGTGAAGGCCAGTGTTGTAATGTGCCTTTGAAACAACGGGAGATGAAGCATTGTGTAGGCATTCAGCTGTTTGTGTTACAGGTAGAACTGTCAGATTTCTTTTGGCGAGTCGGGGATCACGTGGTTTATTCACTGAATGTGCAGCTGTCACATCCGAATTTGTATCCATACTTCTTGCAATATTGTTTCCCCTTGACATGGTATGGTCATCAGTGAAATTGATTTGCTGTACATCTATATCTTGTTTGGACTTAACAGAATCCGTCTCAAAGGACCATTCGAACTGATCAAAGAACCTATCAGCTGCAGGCTGAACTGACTTAGGCAGCTCATTCCAAGCCTGATGAGGAGCCGATGCCCAAGAATGACAGCCTAGTATCTGTATTCCAAGGTTACCAGCATCTTTCTGATGTCCTCCTTCGGGTGGAGGTGGCATCTGTTCTTCAGGACTGTGTTCCCCTGCATGTTTAAGGCCCTTCTCAGAAGCAGAAATATGGTCTGAAGTTTCATTGACTGGCAGTGGTCCTTCCACAGATACACTGGCAACAATGTTGTGAGCTGCTTGTCCAGGTGGCAGACAGGGGGATGCTTGTGTGTCACGACTTCCATGGCTGTTACCAGTCTGGAACAGGATGGAGACTCAGGGTCATACAACTGTTTGCATGTTGTGTAACATCAGCAATACTTAAACAACACGTGGGCAGTTTGTTTCTCCCAATCCTACCCATACCACTCATTTGATCTTTGTATCTTTCTTATCTCTGTATGCAATCTGTCATTACAGTGAGAAAACAAAATGCCTGCATAATCTAACTAAATTACTTCTCAAAAGCCAAGTGGAATCAGCTTTCGAGTGAGAAAATGTTCCAATCAACCAGCGGGGAAGTGTACAAAAGGCATGGAGAAGATTGTTTTGCTACGTACTGTTAGCATGCTCAACAATTCTCAATATGTTGCAGGGATTTCCTGAAATGTATTCACTTTCATTTTGGGCTAAACATAAAGGTTGGTAACATCACACTAGACTTCATGATTTGTATACTTATGAAAGACAACAATATGGTTTTAAAAAGGGACTATATTTATCTTCAATCCAAATCATTCACTGTAAAATTTCAAAATTGGGCTAAATTATTCTCCTCACAATGTTTAAAAATACGATTTGTTTAATATTCCTTATTATAAGGATTTAGCAATCATGGTGTGACAACGTCTGGTCACTAGGGGTGACTATTGAGGGGGGAAACAACAAGTGCGATAGCGATAGTCTATTGCAACATACTATTGTGACCAACTATTGCATTACTATTGCAATAGTTTTTTTCTCTGCTGGAATTGTCTCATTTGAAGTCATTTCCGAAATGAATGTATAGTTTATATGAAATAGAAACAAGCTGAAGTAGTTTCAGTCTCTTTTAACAACTGACAAGAAACCTGAAACCCAGTTCAAGATTGTTTAAGAGGTAACAGGGACGGAAAACTCTAAATCAAAGTGAACGAATCTGGTACTTCCTGTATTTTGCGCTGCTCATTTATCAACAGAAGTCAGTTACTAAGACTATCGATAGTCACACATACTATCGATGCATCGATAGTTTTTCGTTTCCACCATCGATTAATTGCTATCGGACTCAACAATTGCAATCCATCGATAGTTCGAAGCATTGCTACAGCCCTAATGGTAGAGGTTGTTGATTCTTTCAACAGTGTCCTCCTTGGGGTACTTATAAGCATTTTTATGTCCATTAAAAATTCCTACAACAGTTGTAACTGTATTTTCAACAAACTATTTACAAAAAAAACAAAAAACAAAAAAACCCTCGTTTCCATCTTGTTCGACCACCCCTGTAGGGCCCAGGAAGGCCCCACAGCCAAAACAGGGTAATTCTTACCTTGCTAATCACTTTCCATACTGATTGTGATCAGACAGAATGTGGGGAGGTGGGTGGTCGTACCCCAAGGAGGATTCGCTTCAAAGAATCAGCAACCTCTACAGGTTGGTTCCATTCTTTTTCATAAGAGAAGGATCGAGTGAGTTTTGTTTTACACTGCTTTTAGCACTATTCCAGCAATATTAAGATGGGGGAACACCAGAAATGGGCTTCACACATTGTACCCATGGGGGGGAATCGAGCCTCAACGGGGTCTTTGGCGTGACAAGCGAATGCTTTAATCACTATGCTACCCCACCGCCCCTTTTCATAAGAGATCGTCCTTAGGGTACTCATAAGCATAAGACAGACTCCCACAGATTAACGACTCTACCCATTGCGGAGAAGTCATGATATTCAGCTCTAGACCTTTCATGTCAAGAACATGGATACCACATACAACATGCAGTAACATCTGCAAATCTGCCTACTTCGAGATCAGAAATATCAGCCAAATAAGGCGTTATATTGACCCCTCAGTCGCTGAAGTCCTTGTCAATGCCATGGTAACATCTCGGCTTGACTACTGCAATAGCCTGTTGTACGGGATCCAACAAAACCAGCTTGACAAGTCACAGTGTGTCCAAAATGTGGCAGCCAGGATTTTGACACACATGTCAAAATGAACCCATAACACCGGTTCTAAAGAGGCTCCATTGGCTACCTAACAAGCAACGGATCAATTACAAGTAGTGTTTGAAATCGGAAACTAAATCCACCATTGATTATTGGAGGACCTGTGGTGAATGATTATCGATTATAGTTGAAATACAGTCGAGCACAGTTGTGTTGAACTCTGATAACTCGATATCTTGGTTGTCTCGATATAACATCTCGGTTCCAGCAAAATCCTTCATAATTTATCATTATTCAAGCTCTTTTAACTCGATACTGATGTCTTGATATTTCGGATATCTCGATATAATTTCATGGTCCCAACAAGCAAACTTACCCCTTTAACGGTTGTTTCGATATTTGCAAAGAAACTCGATATTCACCTACCTTTCGTGGGCAAGTATCCCTCTGAACTGAGGATGTTTCCACACGTTTCCACACGGTGCGGCATGAATCAAAGGGATGCGGTAGGTGTAAACTAATTAAGGCTAATTGAGTTGAAGGTGTCACTTGTTTGTTATTTAACTAGGATTAATTAAGAAGGAATTAATTAGGAAGTACTAACTGTTACGACTAAACACTACTGATAACAGATTATAGTTTCGAATCAAAACATTCGAGAAGCGTTTTGGTTTCTTTCATAGTGATATGTGATCATATGACCTGGTCGGATGTCTCGAAGTTCGCATAACGCGATATTTTTTCTTGGTCACATGAATATCGAGACAACGATGCTCGACTGCATATACATTTTTAATGCAATCACCAATTTTAAAGGAGTTTCACCAGGTTTTTCTAATTAATGTTTTTTTATAACTAATACTGTCATGCAATGAAATGCACGCAAGAAGGAGAGACACTGGAATTGTAATTAAACAATTAAAGTGGTTAAAAGTTTACAATGCTTACTGCCATCTTTTCATTACTTGATTATTTTATTCTATATTATTCAATATATATACCATCATTCATGAGTATCCTGAGTCTGGTTATACTCTACTCTATTACTCTTCACGTTGCCTCTAAAAGCTGTTCCTGCATACACAAACAAAGCTCGATTTGACACTGAGACAGTCTGACACAATCATCACAGCTTTTTATTTTTGAAGTTAAATATTGAAAAAAATGATAAAACTGAAAACAAACAGCAGTGTTCACTGGAGCCTTGAGGTGGTGAAGCAGTTTATTGTATGTCGTATTGCTAGTCGACTTGTTGAATATCAAGTTTTGGCACATCACTGTGATGGCAGGTAACAATATAACAGTTTAACAGTATTAACTCCATCCACAAGAATTTGGAACATTATTAAATCCAAATATTCATAATATAGAACTAGCTTTATAGAACAGATGAAAACTTCACATTTCAAACAGGTTAAGAGAACATCATTCTTGGTCAGCTTAAAGCTGTTTTTTTCAAGGCTTCAATGACCATGGCCAGTAAGTATCAACAATTTTGTTTGAAAAATCAGTGTATCTACCATTGCTGGATTCATTTAATGGTTAGTTTACTTCATTCAAGTGTGTCATACTAAAACAACAAAATTCTGATTAATAGAAAATATGTTTTCAAGTTTAACAATCAATAAGTATTTTTAGTCCTTCTTTCGATGGTTTTTCGATCATCGGGAACACCACTAATTACAAGCTGCTGACCTTTGTCTTCAAGTCACTGCAACAAACGCCTCAAGTTTATCTACAAACTCTAATTGCTTTGCACGTCCCCAAAAGATGTCTCCGTTCAGCACATCTCATCTCAATGTTCCAAAAACAAACCCATGAAGATCCGGGTTAGAATTGATCTTCAGTAACCCATGCTTGTCGTAAGAGGCGACTAATGGGATCAGGTGGTCAGGCTCGCTGACTTGGTTGACACATGTCATCGTATCCCAATTATGTAGATCGATGCTCATGGTGTTGATCACTGGACTGTCTGGTCCATACTCGAATATTTACAGACTGTGCCATATAGCTGGAATATTGCTGAGTGTGGCGTAAAACTAAACTCACTCACTCCAAAAAACAACAATTACATTTTGTGATAAATAAGAGCTTTCGAGAAAGCAGGGTCAGTTCTTTGGAACTCTCTCCCTCTGGACATTAGGAACTGTACCACACCGCAAAACTCAAAACGCATCTCTTGGCAAAAGCCTACCAGTGATCAGCGCTCTTGAGCAATCTTTCTTGGAAAGGGCGCTAAACAAATGACTAGTTTTTTTTGTTTTTTTATTATTAGAACTGACTGACCAAACTGGGCAGGAGAAAATGACCTTCCCCGAACGTGGACAGGACCCAGGGCTTCGATGTGGCTTTCTCCCATATCATGAGGAAAAGGGAGAGCCGACCGACGACAGGGATATGAGGCTTGAGGCAGTGAACCCCTGCATCCAGCAACATTTGTTTGCCAGTGCTGGGGACACCTAAGGGATTTTGTTCAATGGGAAGCCGGGGCCAACTTCCCTTTCCCTCGAAAAGGCTGTTGAGACCAAACTGCCTTGCCCCTGCCTCTCTTGCTCTTCTTAATCTGTAGTGGAGCAGTCCACCTAACAGATTCCCTCCCCGGCGCCGCGGGTAAGAATCAGCAAGTACCGAGGGCCGTTGGAGAGCAGTGGGGTGTTGTATGGAATCCTTAAAAGTGCTAACTGCCTCCGCTGTCCTCCAATACCACTCTCGGGGCCCCAGGGAAGAGGGTAGAACCCATCTTATATGGCCAAGAGATCTCTGGTCTCTGAACCCGCAGCTGAAGAGTGTGATGTCAGAGACAAAGGTTTGAGAAGAGCCGAGATGCTCAGATCGACCTGTCTGCGGCTCAGGCCCAAACTGTGGTTCCGAGACACATGAGAAGAGCCTGACAAATCAGGGTTCCCAGAGTATATGGGTAGACCTTGGCGTGTCGAGGAGGCTGGTAGCCTCCTACCAGCCTCTTGGATCTGCTCCGCACCAGGGCCAAAATCCGGGGTGGTGCAAGTCCCCTGGTTCAAACCATCCCCGAGGCCGAAACCTGGGTCTGACTGTCCCCCGGAGGTCGAAGCTGTGGTCAGTACCTCCCCCTTACAGATGCGCCAGCTCAGGCTCTATCCATATACTTTGTCCTAAACTCCTCTCGGAGCCCGGAGAAAGCGTCTGAGATAAGCTTACGAAACCAAGTCATGTGTTGCTGCAATAAAGACACTATATCATCAATGGTTAATGGTGCAGCAACTGGTGGTGATTGTGGGGGAGGTGTAGAAGGGGGAAAAAGTGTGGATTCCTTGGAAACCCTGGCCTGTTTACCACCTGCCTCCTTAGAGACAGACTCAACGGTAGAAGCCGCCTTCTTCCGCAATTTATTAGCCTTTTCAGACGGGGGATCCTGACCCCAAATATTGCCCCCTGCTCGAAGCAGATTTGTACAAAGCATCAGATCTGCGTGTTGGGCTTTTCTGGCTTTATGGGTAGAGCCTTGGCAGATCCCATATCCTTGATTATCAAGTGCCTCCTCAGCAAGGCATCGGAGGCACAACTCATGGGGATCTTGAGGGGGAAGGTGGGTCTTACACGTACTGCAGCTTCTGAAAGACTGCAAAGTGAACCAACCCTGGTAACTAGTGTGTACAGGTATAGAATGTATACATGTATAACATAGCACAAACATTACGTAATAATATATTAACACAAGTGTGTTAATTATTAATTGAATGTGAAGCAAACATAACACCACAACATTTACAAACATCTAAATGAACGTAGCATGCTGCCCGTTGTATAGTCCTCCTTGACAAACACTTAGTTTGAAGTGGAGAATTTGGCAAAGATATAATTGTTTACATAGCCAAACGTGCGATATTCAACTCGTCGTATCGCTAAAGCAATCGTACAGAAGAAAAGTCACTCAAGCATGACCTTGTCAACTGCAAAAAGCACAAGCTAGACGGAATGACATGTCATAATTAATATATATACCATTATATATATATATATCATAGATATAACAAATGAAATGCGATGTAAAGTAACACATGTGACAACAATCCCCAATCTAAAGTGTAGAAGCCCCAAGGAGGATCTCGTATGAAAAAGAATGAAGGATACGGTAGCCAGTAAGAGACAAGCAATATTTCAGTGAGAACTGTTTTCCAGCTTGACATTGGTGGATCTTTCATTAGTAACCTTGACCTTCACTCACTGCAGGTGCCATCATAAGAGCAGGACACACCAACTATGTGGTAACTACAGTGCAAGTTTACAGTCAGTTGGTCACACAGATTAGAATGCATTTCTTGTTTATATAGAGAAGTAATTTGGAATCCAGAGGGTTAAAGCGGGCCTACCTCCTGTGAATCGTAAGAGTGTTTCTCCATGTCAAAGGTTGCCGATATTTCCTGCTGTGAATCCTCTCCACCTCCTCCTCCCATGAAGAACTCATCCAACATGTCAGCCTGCTGTGCCCTTGTCTCAAACTCAGGAATGTTGTCAGATGTCAACTTCATTTCTTCTTCAACTGGTCTGTTTGGCCTAAAACTATGTAGCAGAAACAACCAACATATATTAAGACTATACTTTGGAATGGTAACTATCTTGCATGAGTAAAAACCTTTATGCACGATCTGCCATGGCTTGTTACACTATAGTCATTTTTGAATATCGATAAACACAAATTGTGCCGCGTGAAAACAGCCTCAGGGACAGAGACTTAGGTGGAAACTGTTCACACTCATAGCATAACAAATACATCATCACATCCCCCACCCCTTCCAAAAACAGAAAGCTTTCATGTATGACGATATGCCCTTCATCTTCATAAGTTGAAGATAAATGTTAACTATTTACCTTAATTGCATAAATAACAAGAAGACAAAGTCATCAATATCCCCCGCAACGGCAAAATACTCTTTATGAATATGTCTGCTAGTTATGATTATGTCAAATGTTTTGGAGTTTATACAGCAAAGTGGAAGGAGAGTATTGAAATGTTTTTAAGATCTGCTCCAGAAAGGAGCACTACCACCAAATTCAGTTGAAGTCTAACTTGTTGCCATGGAAATGCAACGGGATGACATCCTCATAGTCACAGCCTAAGACATGTTTCCATGGAAACAGCAAAACATAAAATTCACATCTGGGTCTAACCGCCAAGAGGCACATCTAGGGATCATGGTTGACATGTGTACCAAGTTTGGTTAAGCTATCACGAATAGTTTAGGAGATATGCTTCGGACAAAGTGTGACGGAACTCCTTTCAATATCCCCTGCAACTTTGTTGTTGAGGGGGATAACAAAGGAATCTAGTCAGAACTATCACCCATGTTAATATGTCTGCAACATCAGGTTCAATGTTTCTTGTTCAACATCTCATCTAGCTACTAGAGAAGACCCTGTAAATAGTATTGTATGGACCAGAAAATCCAGTGACTGATTCTATGAGTAATCGATGATGACCTGATCCAAGCTGGTCCTTCTTATGACAAGCAAAGGTAACCAGGAACTGACTCCAATCAAGAATCCTCACAGGGTGAGTGTTCAATGCACTTTTATCTATATTCATCTTCATTTTGATTAGTTTCTCACCTATCTTGTTTGTCGGGTGAAGATGGCACAGGATTCCTGAAGAATGTGTAGTTTGAGAAGCGAGGCTGCTGTCTCAAGTTGTGATGCATGCCAAAGCTCCAAGATTCTTTCAGACGCTTCCATTTCAGGCCAGATGAAGTCAGGTCGGAAAGCAGCTCATCGATGTTGCTTAAAACGAAACACATCATTACCTGGACAGTACACTATGTTCCGGAGAATCAGGCTTTGGGAAAAGCAGTTATAAGAACTTCCACAGTGCAATACTACAATCTGTTTGATTGGCGTTTTAAAAGTGAGTGAATAATAGTGAGTGAATGAGTGAGTTTTGGTTTTACGCCGCTTTTAGCAATATTTCAGCAATATCACGGCAGGGGACACCAGAAATGGGCTTCACAGAGTGAATAAGAAAGGTAAGATACTTTATGGATGACCATTTTATTATGATGTGACACGTCGGTATAGGTTCTTGATAACGATATAGTGAGTGAGTATGGTTTTATGACTCTTATAGCAATATTCCAGCAATATCACAGCGGGGTACACCAGAAATGGGTTTCACACATTGTACCTATGTGGGGAATCGAACCCAGATCATCGGCGCGAAGAGTGGTTAACCATTATCCTACCCCACCACCCCTGACAACAGAATAAGAGCCTATACTGAAACATTGCATCAAAATATACTCAGCAGCAAAAAAAACCTGTCAGTACGAATTCAAAATCAGATAGGCACTGTAATCAAATCATTACAGAAATGGACATAATAAGCGGATGAGAAACATTTTTTGTATACAATATCCTGACACATCAATAAATAACTCAGCACAATTCCAAGGCATTTTGTGAACGTTTGCACTCCATTGACTTCAGTTTCTAGTGTGACGACCACAAGTGGCAATAACTGCAGCTCAGCGTCTATGCATGGAGTGCACCAATCGATTGATGAAGGCCATTGGCACCTGGAACCACACTCTGAGAAAGGCCTGGCGCAATAAATCGGCTGTGTTCAGCCTTGGTATGACATTATTCAGTCTCCTCTGAATTTCATCCCAAAGATGTTCAATTGGATTTAAATCAGGACTAAGGGCTGGCCACTGCATAATGTTGACACCATTCTGCTGTAGGAAGTCCCGTGTAGCTCTGGCAGTATGGGCCCGTGCGTTACCATGCTGGAAAATGTTGTTCCAGTGACGTACAAAATGTGGTATGACATGGGGTCTGAGAGCTTGGTCGATGTAGTGCACCGCTGTGATGCCGCCTCCTCTCCCTGGACCAAAGTTCTGGAACACCACAGGACCCACTCTCTGGTTCAGGCCTATTCCACCCCATACCATGATGCTTTCACTTCCCCATGAGTCTCTTTCCATAACACATTGGCCTGAGTAACTCTGGCCACGTCGTTGCAATATTCTTGTTCTGCCATCTGCAGCTGATACGCAGTACCGACTCTCATCTGTGAACAGAACAGTTCTCCATTGCCTGTATCTCCAGTTTTGGTGTTGTAGGGCAAACTGTAGACGTTCACGCCGATGACGAGCGGTGAGGATAGGTCACGGTAAGGTCTATGGCAATGGAGGTTCCCGCTGTTAAGACGTCCGCGTACTGTATCAGTACTGATTGGTCTTCCGTGTGTTCCCACTGTCTGGTGTGCTGTTTCGGGATGCCTGCATGAAGAGATTCTGTACATGCACAACATGGCGGTCTTGTCTTGTGGTACCATTGGTCTGCTAGTACGGGGACAATCATTTGTGGTGTTGGTGGCCCAGAAACGTTGCTTCAGCCTGTAGATGGTCTGAACGTTGACCTGGAAGTGATTGGCAACAGCTTGTGCAGTGTGGCCAGCTTCAAGTCTTCCTAGCGCCTGGTTCCTCTCCACTGTCGTGAGTCGCGGCATCCTGCTGACGTTGTAATGTGAATGTTTCAACCAGGTTTGGGGGTGCATTTTATAGGGCTGGTCCTTGTGAACAGCATGTGCAGCATGAGTTGCACGAAAAACATGGAGAACACCGTACCATCTCTAAGATAAGGTTGCATCTTTAAGACCATTTCTTGGGTTCCATTCTGAGTTTGGGAAGGAATGTCTTTGCTGAGGTCAAGTCGGAGATCTTGTCAAAAATATACAATCAAAACATTAAATGAGTTTACAGTTATCCGTTTCTGAGAAGGAAAATTCCAAACTGACGTTTCTTTTGCTGCTTAGTATACTATAAAGAAGTTGTCATCCATCAAGTATCTTACCCTTCTTATAAAATACTACAAGTTGAAGCAGTATCCACTGGGGCATGTGTGTTCTGCATTAGTGTCTCTAACACAACTCTCTGAATTTAAGTTGTGAACATATTTCAATGAGCCATAATAAAAAAAATAAAAAAAATTGAGTAAGGAATATATTCTTCTGCTCACAATATTTCTTCCTCACCTGAGATACAGAGTATTTTACCAAGATCACATGAACCTGATCAACATTCTGACTGGGAGGTAAGATAACTTTTCTTGTACCAGTTATAGTGAAGGGTATAATCTCTTAAATCCTCATTAAATTTTACTATTTACTTGAACTCAAGTTATTCAATTTCGGATACGGATTCATGCTAATGACATTGCAGGTTGTTTAACATTTGCATCAACTGAAGATTCTGAACTCCTGGACTCTAGGACACAATACTGAGCCTGCTAACATACTTGATTTGAATGTTGAAGGAAGCCATTGGTTTCCTCTTTCCCGCCATTTTGTAGGGGTGGAACTGTCGACTGTGCCTGTCCTCTGTGATCTGAGCCATGCTGAGGTTCCTCACTGGGTGTCGACCAGGGGGCTGAAATGGCAGGGACAAAGTTAATGTGAAAACAAGCTGACAACCCACCGGTGGTCTAGAGGTTGTCAGACTAAACGTTACTTAGTTTAACAACACACTCAGCAATATTCTTAAATTCATATGCTCACCTTTCAGTACAGTGAGTGCGTAACTATAGTTTGATGCCGCTTTTAGCAATATTCCAGCAATATCACGGCAGGGGACAACAGAAATGGACTAAACACATTGTATCCATATAGGGAATCAAACAAGGGTCTTCGGTGCGACACTTTAACCACCAACCGCCCCCTCAGCATCCACATGGGACAAGTTTTAGCAGTTGAGTATTTCCAGTTATTACAGTCATCAATAAAGTTGTTGCAGTACAATAACCATACTACTATGACCGATTGTATAATCAAAACCAGTTTGGATGTACACATGTAAACCCAAATAGACTAGGACAGCTATACTCTCCACATGATACACTGCCAGTCAAACCATATCTTTACATGGAGACAAAAAACAAGCAAACCCAATTTAAGTATTTGAAAATGCACACTGCTTGAAAATGTGTTATCAGGACAGGACATGACATGTCACCAGAATAATACGAATCTGGTTCAGTTGAACACTGCACCCTATTTCACAATGCTACAGTAAAGTTACGACTGTTGTAACTCCTATTCTCATAAAACAGACGGCTTGCGACAGAACCAGAGGTACAATCACTTTATGAAATGAGGCCCAGATTAGCTGATGGTGGGGGGCCGGGGACACCAGAAATGGGCTTCACACCTTGTACCCATGTGGGAAATCGAACTCAGGTCTTCGGCATGACAAGAGAACACTTTAACCACAAGGATACCCCACCGCCAAAATTCGGGAGTAGGAAGATTTCTCAGAAGCTGCTATCAAAATTACAAAATGTCCAAAATACAGCCTCCCGAATCATAAGCAGAACTTCAAAGCGCTCCCACATAAGACCTGTCATGAAAAACCTCCACTGGCTGCCTGTTAAATCAAGAATTGACTTTAAAATATTGTGTTTTGTGTACAAATGCCTTAATGGCAAAGGCCCAGAATACTTGAAAGAACTTCTTACCCCATACACTCCAGAAAGACAGCTCCGTTCTCAGAATCTGAACCTACTCTCTGTGCCTCGTTTCAAACTGCAAACTTTTGGAAGGAAATCCTTTGCCTGTTCTGCCCCTCTACTCTGGAACTCTCTCCCTATCACCATTAAATCAGCAGTTGACTTTAATTCCTTCAAACGACTTCTCAAGACTCATCTGTTTTCACTGCATTATGACTAGCTACTAGTCCCTCATTGTATATATGTATACTAGCTACTAGTCCCTCATTGTATATATGTATACTAGCTACTAGTCTCTCATTGTATATATGTATACTAGCTACTAGTCCCTCATTGTATATATGTATACTATCCACCCACTTTGTTAGCGCTTTGAGCATGGGCCTTGTGCATGGGAAAGGCGCATTATAAGTTCACATTTATTATTATTATGTACAATATATTCACATCACATCACAAAACTTACTCCATCCATGGTATTCTGACTGTTCCTGTCTCCACTGACAGTTGAAGTGTTGCTAGGCTTGTCATCTGTCTTCTCTTTGTCACCATTGCTGCTATTGGTTCTGGAATGATTAACTCTGGCTCGGTTTCCTAATCTTGGATCTCCATTGGGTCTCCTATCAAAGGTGCTTTGTGTTGCTGTAAGGCCATCACCTCTCATATCGTTGTTGAACCCATTGCCATTAGGCCTGTCACTGTTCGACACAGCAGTGACAATTGAACGGAGGTTTCTGGAAATTGGTTGAGAATCTTCTTCAGAGCAGTGCATGCTGTGTCCTTCCAATTCTTGTTCTGTTTTTGCATCAGGTTTTTGTGTCTGCTTTTGCTCGTATACTGATTTGCCAGATATTTCATTCTGTTTCTCTAGCAGAGCCAGAGGCGAATGTGTTTTATCTTCCAAAGATTTCTGAAGATTCTTTACGGCCGGATTGGGCAATGTTGAACTGCTGTGACAAGAATCTGTGTCCAACAGCTTGAAGGATGGGGATACTTCAACATTTGTAATTAGTTTCAGTGGCTGCAGCTTAGATAGCTCCACCATTTCACTGCTGTACAAACCAGGTATCTGGGGAAGGCATGACTGCTTCAGTTTTTCAGCATACTTTTTCTCAAACATAAGTTGTGATTTTGACTTCGGCTTGCCATCACCAAATCTTGTGGAATAACCACTGCTGGGTTTGCTGACATTAGATACCTTGTCAGCAATGTCTGATATTCGACATAAGCTCTTATCAGTAAGCCTGTCATGCACATTTCTACTGTGTTTATCACTATTACCTGCCTGAATACAGCTGCTTTTTTCAGTTTTTTCTCCTGAACTGCGCCTAGTTTTTGCTGACGTCTTCTCTTTGGAACCATTTTTTAATTGGTGTCTGTCCTGGTCACCCTTCTTTGACACTTTATTGGCCATCTTTGAAACGTGCTTCAGTTGTTTATCTAAGCTAATGTCCCTAGTCTTGGAATCAGATTTGGAACTTGATCTAGAACTACCTGATGATCTGCTGGAATGTCTTGATCTTCCAGACTCACTTCTTTCACTAGCACCTCTGTAGTTGTGAGTTGTTTCTTTTCTTGATTCCTTATACCGTTCACTAGCGTTACTATTGTTACGACCAGTCTCTTTTCCTGATTCCTTACATCCTTCATTAGTGTTACTATGGTTACGACCAGTCTCTTTTCCTGATTCCCTACATCTTTCACTAGTGTTACTATGGTTACAACCAGTCTCTTTTCCTGATTCCTTACATCCTTCATTAGTGTTACTATGGTTACGACCAGTCTCTTTTCCTGATTCCCTACATCTTTCACTAGTGTTACTATGGTTACGACCAGTCTCTTTTCCTGATTCCTTACATCTTTCACTAGTGTTACTATGGTTACGACCAGTCTCTTTTCCTGATTCCTTACATCTTTCACTAGTGTTACTATGGTTACGGCCAGTCTCTTTTCCTGATTCCTGACATCTTTCACTAGTGTTGTATTTGTGTGATGTTTCTTTTCTTCTACCTTTAACTGTTGAACTAGTTCTTCTGTTACAACTTTTGGCCTCCCTTGAATCTTTGTCCGTATCTTTAGAATGACCTTTTGACTTCTTGCTCTCTGCATTTCCTCCCTTACTTGAGTCACCACTCTTAACCCGGGATCTGTGCTGCCTGCTTTTCTCCTCTGAGCTTTCTTTGGATGTAGTCTGAGATTCAGGTTTTTCTTCATCTGTTTTTTCCAAACTTTCAGAAAAATCATTTATCACTTTTTCAGAATTACCTCTTCTGAAACCTTCTGAATTGTCTTTGGTTGGTTTGATGCCTACGCTACCACATGAATTTCTAGAACCTGATGGTGACCTTGACCGACAAATAGACTGCTGCGTTTTATCTGTTACAGGGGACTCCTCAAGAACATCGGTTACAATCCACTCTTCCTCTTGTACTTCAGCTTCAGCAACTTTATCGGCTATAGTCTGTTCATCACTGACAACAACATTACGACTATCTCTGATGTTAGCTTCTGGGTGTGATTTGTGTTGAGAACTGTCCAGCAAATCCTGACTGCTGCTGTCCTCCCCCAACTTGTCGCTGGAGTCGGCAGACCTCACATAACGAATGTCCTCTTCCTCTTCTTCTTGGTGCAAGACAGCCATGATGCTTTCTGACAAACGTGAGGTGGGAACCTCTTGAGTCAGACTGAAATACGGAATAATATAAAATTATAACTAAGGATTTTAGCACTGATTCATTACATGTTAAGGCCATGAAGAGTCAAACATCAATTGTTTTTTTTTCATAATACAAAAAGTGAGCGAGTTAGTTTTACGTTGCTTTCAGCAGTATTCCAGCAATATCACGGCTGGCGAAACCAGTAATGGGCTTCACACTATGTACCCATGTGGGGAATCGAACCCGGGGCTTCCTCGCATGACGAGCGAACGCTTTAACCACTAGGCTACCCCATTGCCCCCATAATAGTTAATGGCATGACGGACTAATTGCTGTGATATGAAAGAAAAATGTGGTCCTAAACTTCTTTGTAAGCGGCATGGCTTGTAACATTGGGGACTGCAGACATAAGCAACAAAAACAGTTCAGGGGAACAATGGATTAAACATGAGTAAAATAAGGTACATGAAACGGAGAAAAGGTTACTTTTCTCAGAAATGTGAGCTTCTTTTTCTCAGGCAACAAGTTTATTGTTTCAAGAATTCAAACCATATGATAAAATGTAAAAACTTGAAGTATATTCCTGTAAAGGTGGTCGCGAGAACAGTATAACATCGGTTTTGAGATCTCTCTGGCCTGAAGACCTCACCATGGACATACCACAGAGGATGTGTAGGGACAACGTAGTGCACTGTGACTTGAGTATTTTATGTCAGGGTAACCCTTCCACATATACTTATATATAACACACAGCAGGGCCATCTTAACAGAACAACAGAATCATAGACCCCTAGGCAAAGCCGTGCATTAAGGCCCTATTTTTGTGGGGCACATAGGGAATAGTCCAGTATGTCCATCCTTAAGATGGCCCTGACATACAGTGTAGGCCCCGACATCATACAGTGTAGGCCCCGACATCATACAGTGTAGGCCCCGACATACAGCGTAGGCCCTGACATACAGTGTAGGCCCCGACAAACAGCGTAGGCCCTGACATACAGTGTAGGCCCTCCACTTACCCGTGCAACATGTACTGTATAGCTTCCAGCTTGCCAGGCTTAGGGATCTGGGTAGCGTGCTCGTACGTGTTGACGATCTTCACTTCCGTCACATCAGCTGTCACTTCGAACATGTCGAGGAGGAGAGAACAGGGTTGCAGCTGACAGGTTCTGATTAGCTAGGTCGTTGTTCCTCCTGGACAGAGTCAAGAATCCAGGAGAGGAGGGCACCACAGGTGTCTCGGAAGTTTTGGACGTGGGTGTTTGTTGTGATTCTGGGTTTGATGGGGCCGGTGTATCAGTGACAGGGGAGGTAAAACAAGGCAAAGAGTTTTTGGGTACAGGTGAAGATGTAGATGAAGGTGTATCTGGAGATCCTCCAGTATCAGACCCAGAACTGTTGGGCTTACTGTGGATAGTCGGCAGGTGCTTGCTGTCAGTCTCTCTAATGAAGGTTGGCAGGACTGAAAAATAAAAGTTCTAGGTATGAAGGCCAACAATATTTGTGATCCAACTTGAAACAGGGTGTAAGAACATAGGTGTTACAGACATGACAGACAGAAAGCACTGAAAAGCAGGGTGTTTAAATTAGGCTTAAATACAATTATTATACTCCACTTTGTATTAAGGACAGTACCTATTCATTTTATACAATAATATACTTCAAAGCACAAAACATGTTATCTAACATATTTTTCATGTTTATACACACAATGAAATGGCTAAAATTGAAAGTTTATGGAGAGTTTCAGGCGTCAATCTCTAAATAGAACCCTGATACTAGTTAGAACAATGATATATATACTGGCAGTAATCCTCAAGGCATGTTCTGCTAAACAATGTAACGTCTGAATGGTTATAGCGTTTCACCACAGCTGTAGAATGCCCAGATATTGATATCAATGCAGATCTTACTGAGAACCGCTTAGAGTCATAACACTTACAAAAAAATGTCCCAAACCAACACAAATGTTGAGGAGAGATGCCATTATTGCCCAGATTTACTAACATGGATCAGTTACGTGCAGCTGATGCTTCGTGTGTACTGCACCTTACTGATGTCAGGACACGTTCAACACACATGTGATATCTGATGCTGGGTAGAAATGGCCTACTTTCACCTGTGCTGGCAAACTGTGGATGAAACTTGGTCATCCGATGGATAATAATTAGATGTGCTTACTTGTCCTAAAGTAATTTTACTAGCTACAGACTATACACAAGTTGGCAGATGTTGCAGATTACATCTGTGTTGGGATCGAAAGGATTGCAACTTTCTTTAGCAACATTTGCCTGACTAATGATAGCATATAGACTAATTGATAGGCATAAACTCCAGATCCAAAGGAAACCTTGATTTGACAGTTGTCTTGTAAATATTCCCTGCTTTCTAGATGTCAGTAGTTGTGATCATGACATGGGACCTATGTGATCAAGGAATTGCCAATGTTTCTTGAAACTGTCATAGCTATTGATAACTTGATGGGAGGAGGACTACAACATTTCCATCTCGATGTATATATAAATTTTACGTATGTGATGAAATATTGCCCAAAAAAACGTAACATATTCTTTCATCAGTTCAAATATCACATGGCACAACATACAAAACACAATGAAATCATGAAATCCCCACGGAAAGACAGACATATGCCATGATACACTAACGAACCTGTTCAAAAGTTTGATGTGGGAAAAAAAAGGGGGTATACATCCAAACTTAAAGAACTAATTTTGGTTTAGCTTACACCAAACTTTTGAACAGGTCCCGTAGTGAAGCAATGTATTCCCATCAAATGTTACGTCAATGGCCAAGACATAGCTGCCAATTATACTCCCTGCTTTCTTACAACTCGACCCTAAAATGCATATAAGAATTATTTACTCGAATGCAAGAACAACAAGTTGTGTATATTCTGACAATATCAAACTGGAGGCATGTGTGTGAATGCAGGAAAATAGAATATTCAAAATCACTGTACAAGCAATGCCAGCACAGACATCAGCATTTTGGTAAAAATCATCGAAAAATATCACTTGAGTAAGACTTTGAATTGCAGTTATACAACTAAATTCCTTATAAGATATGGGATAATTATTTTGACAAATGTGGAAAAAACTATAAGTATTTATGAAAAATTCATTCATAACTTTAATAAATTTCGGGCAATTGATTGATCAAGATTTTTATCTGTATTCTACAACATAAATATGACAAGCAAATAAACATGTTTAACATCATGACAAAAATAGAGAAAGTTTATATGACTGAAAACAAAGCTCGTTTTTACTGATATAAGAAGTCACATTAAGACAAACGTGCAAAAAAAGAACATGAAAAGCACATTGACAACAACACTTATGCACGAACACTAAAGGAATTAAAACACAAGAAACACTGGGAATTGCCCCAAACTTACCAGGACCAGAAGGTGAAAACAAAACAATAGAAACGTGGCTCAGTGAGGGTGACATAATGCATTGGATTATTCAAATGGCAGTAACTTCAATATTACTACTAACATACACCATGTTCCTTGAATACTAACTTAACATCATATAGCACCTTATGGGGTGAATATACCTTGGTTATGCTTTGGAAAGACTTGGCAAATACCTTTAAAATGGCACATATTCTTACAGCCAAGTTAAATTGTTCTAGGCAGGTTCCTGAACACATTGAATCTTATGTAGTTCAAACTAGTTTTCATGTAAATAGGTTTTGGTACTTTTTTCAATACATACGAGTTAGTAAATATTGTTTAATGCTGCAATAAGAATGATTTCAGCTATGTATTGGTTTGGACTGTGAACACCATTAATTCTTATACTAACATTACCTGCATCCATTATAAATAAACATCCTCAGCCGTCATCCTCAACAAGAGACTCTATCAAAATAATTTCAATATATCTCAGGAATAACTAAACAATATGAACACATCTGGTGGAATAAGAAGTAAATGTACAGTCATACAATGGCCGCTAGACAGAATTGTCATTTGACTGTTGGAGCTTATCTAAATGCCACAAAACATCACAATTTTTTCAGATCCAGTATAACTGGTCCAATTGTGGGATCTCTATTTCACACGACATTTAAGGATGACTGCTTGGGAAACACTCTGATACATTTCAAGCAAAATGGTGCATGTTAAATTGTAAGAAAATGCACATTAGTTGAAACTAGTTAATGTTTCTAAATGCAGCATGCACATTATGCTCCATGCAACAAGACACAAACTGTTATTGTCAAGCTGTTAACAATGTCATACAAGGCTATTAACAATGTCATACAGGGCTATTAACAATGTCATACTGGGCTGTTATCAACATTTACACACCAGGAGGACAGCAATGCAACATCTTCAGGAAAGAGAACACTAGATTTCCTATTACCATATTTATTACATCTTAGCTATGTTGATAATGGGAATAGTCAGTCAGAATGGAAATTTCATACTGCTCTTAGCAATGTCCCTGCATTATTGTTGTAATAGATACCAGCAATGGTCTACACATATTCCACCCATTTGGGGATCAAAACTTAGTCTGAAGCGTGATAAGCAAACGTTTTATCAGTAGGCTTCCCAATGGCCCCAAAACATGTTGATAAGACTTCCATTATAGCAATGATGTAGTGAAGCGAAGAAAGCATGGTCAAGGCCCTTTCCACAAAGAGATGTTAGCACTACGACTATTGTAGGTCAATGTTAAAGTATGGGAGTTACAATCATCTCAGCACTAACATTGCTTTGTAGAACAGAGCCTTACTAAAAACCGCTGGCTGGCATGTGACTTGTCTATGAATGAATCATAAATGTTGATCTTCAAATAAAATAGGCTATTTGGAACTTTGTCCAGAAATTGAACAACTCCATGCAATGCCATTAGTGTTCCTTGAACAAATGCAACAGCAAACATGTTAAAAAGGAAACCGGTTTTGTAATGGCACCTGTGATGATGGTTGTCGGAGATTTTGTGTTGATGGCCTTTATCCATGACTTTATCTTACTTCGTTTGATTTTCTTGAGAATTGGACTTAAAATGCTAACAGAAAGAAACTAATTAGTACATACAAGCATAGCTGGAACCTGTCACAATGGGACTTCAGTCAAACAGACCTCAAAATCATTGTTTGTTTGTTGTAATGCTATGCTCAGCAACATTGCAGCTGTATGAGTGAGTGAGTTTGGTTTTACACAGCTTTAGCAATGTTCCAGCAATATCACGGCAGGGGACACCAGAAATGGGCTTCACACATTGTACTCATGTAGGGAATCGAACCCAGGTTTTCAGCGTGACGAGCAAACGCTTTAACCACTAGGCTACCGCACTGCCCCAACTGTATGAGAGTGGCTTGTAAATGTTTTGTCAATACCAGACAATCAACAGATTGTCACTGAGCACAGACCCATGTCGTCATGGTATAATAACACTATCAACCGAAACTGACCATCTGATCCACTGGTCGCCTCTTACGACAAGCATATTTTGTAGGTCTTTGAGTTATCATATGTACAACTATCAGTCAATACTGAATCAAGAAGCTTGTTACTAGACACTGACAAGTGGTAAATGTCACCGAGGTCCTGACGTAAGAGGAGGGAAGCCATTATTTACACTCTACTGTAGTGTTGCAGGTATAAGCCTGTTATTAGTGTTCACATTCAGGAATGGTACAAATGCAGATTATCTTCAGCAAATTACAAATTTATAAATATACAACATTCTAATGTCAAAGACATTGAAACGATTTCTCTTGAATAAACTTCTTGTGTATGGGATAATCATCTCCCACAAATAGATGTTTCATTTCTTTTTGAAATGGTGCTTTGTTTATCATGGTTCTCAAACTACCAGAAAGACAAAACTATATGAATTGCGTAACCTTTTCTTTTAATGAATATATCATGTGGACACTACTTTCAGTTTTATGTCTTTCCTAAATATCTGACTATCTGCTCAAATTGGAATAACTGCATGCCAAAGAAAGAAGATGAGAAAAAGCAGGCAACAACATTGCCAGCACATTTTGACAATCCTGCTAAAGAATAACTGTTTAAGAATTCACATTGGACATTTGGACAGACAAGTACAGTCTCATGCATCTGCTGCATCATCAAGGGCGTCAGAGAACTTTAGAGAGGATCGATGGTAACAACAGACTTCCTGAACAGGAAGAACAGTTTCAAACACTGAATCACTGACGGTAATTACTGTTTATAGA